AGGGAAATAGGCGGAGAAAGAGGCGGAGCATCGCTCGTGCTGGCACAGTTTGCTCTCGCAAATCCCTAGTTTGCTACAGCTCTTAGCAACGTGGCTGCCGAGCCCTGGACCATTTGAAGCTTCCGAGCAGTCTTCAAAGGCAACCCCACGTAGAGAGCGTTGCAGTAGTCTATGCTAGATGTAACCAGAGCGTGGACTACCGTGGCCAAGTCAGACTTCCCAAGGTTTGTTATGTTATGCCAGCATTGAATGTTTGCCAATTTTCTGTTGTAAACCGCCCTGAGTCCCCCCGGGGAGATAGGGCGGGATAGAAATAAAGTTTATTATTATTCAATGTATTGTCGAAGGCTTTCATGGCTGGAATCACTCAGTTCTTGTGGGTTTTTTCGGGCTATATAGCCATGTTCTAGAGGCATTTCTCCTGACGTTTCGCCTGCATCTATGGCAAGCATCCTCAGAGGTGAGGACCTCACTACCTCTGAGGATGCTTGCCATAGATGCAGGCGAAACGTCAGGAGAAATGCCTCTAGAACATGGCCATATAGCCCGAAAAAACCCACAAGAACTGAGTTTATTATTATTATTAATTTACTGCACTTGCAAACACTTCATAGTTTCTATTTTAGCATATTATCTGAAGGAGAAAATAACCCCAAGGCAATTAAAAGGAACTTTCCCCCAAAACTCCTTGTATAGTTCAGCAATGGAGTAATGACCCAGGCCAAAAGCCAGCTAATCCTGATTTGGAGACATAAATACATACTTCAGGTTACCCCATGCTTTGTATCTAATGCAAATCCTGTCTTCTTGATTTCTCATTAAGTACAAACCTCCCCTAAGTAGCGGTTCTAGGGAAAGGGCCTCAAGCAGCTCCTCAGAAGCGACGCCGAGCCCACGAAGACGAGGATGCCATTAAAAAACAGGCCTCCCAGATACTTAATTGGGGCGGCGCCTCCCACGTCAGGCCTTCCCTCGCCCTTGTGTCACCACAGCAACCACTCCCAAAGGGGGAAGCAGGAGAGGAGGAGAGATACACTCTGCGCATGCGCCCCGAGTCTTCAACTCAACTAATCTGGAGGAGCTTGTTGGGGTTTTTTTTCCCCCTGTTTGTTTCAAATCTCCCTCCCCCGCCTTATTATGGGGAAAGTCACGTGACGCAGCCCAAGTAGTACGCTTAGAGATGCCGACGCTAGATCCCGTGACGTCATTGGCGCGCGGGAAATCCAAGAGCGGCAATTGGCCAAGAAACGGACCCCGCGAGGAGCGGAACGGAACGCCACGCGGCTCGTGTACCACTCCGGCGGCTTTTCTAAAGCGGACACATACACTCTCATAGAGTGAAGATGTTGACGGTGGGCTTCAGCAGTGACTATTTCCGGCTTTGATTGGGTCCTAAAGAGGAAGAAGGGACTGCGCCGGACATGGCAACGAGAGCTGCTGTGGTGACAGCGCGGCGTTTAGTCAGAGCGGCCTCTTTCGCCAGGAGCCGGCTCTTCTTCGAGGCCCCGCGGAGTCGAGGCGGAAGCAAGGTGCGGTTGCTCTCGGGGCGTGCGTCCCTCCTTAGTCTTCCCCCGGTTTCCCAAATTTCTGGAATCCCTTCCGGGGTTGGGAAAGTTCTTTGATAGGAATGCCTCGAAAGAGTAGAATTAATTCGCTTTACCTGCTATGACTCAATACTATGTAATCCTAGAATCAAAGAGTTGGAAGAGACCTCGTGGGCCACCCAGTCCAACCCCCTGCCAAGAAGCAGGAAAATCAAATTCAAAGCACCCCCGACAGATGGCCATCCAGCCTCTCTCAACAAAGTTTACCCCAGGCACAGTCAGGCCATTGTATGCTAATCAAGGTGGTCAGTTGAAACATTCACACCTAGCTCCAGCAGACAAGAGTCCTTTGTCTCACCCTGGTCAAGAATTAATACTATGGAATCCTAGAATCAAAGAGTTGGAAGAGACCTCGTGGGCCATCTAGTCCAACCCCCTGCCAAGAAGCAGGAAAATCAATTTCAAAGCACCCCCAACAGATGGCCATCCAGCCTCTCTCAACAAAGTTTGCCCCAGGCACAGTCAGGCCACTGTATGCTAATCAAGGTGGTCAGTTGAAACATTCACACCTAGCTCCAGCAGAGAAGAGTCCTTTGTCTCACCCTGGTCATTCCACAGATATATAAACCCTTTTGCCTAGTTCCAACAGACCTCACTACCTCTGAGGATGCTTGCCATAGATGCAGGCGAAACGTCAGGAAAGAATGCCTCTAGACCATGGCCATATAGCCCGAAAAACCTACAACAACCCATCCAGGCTCTGTTTAAAAGCCTCCAAAGAAGGAGCCTCCACCACACTCTGAGGCAGAGAGTTCCACTGTTGAACAGCTCTCACAGTCAGGAAGTGCTTCCTAATGTTCAGATGGAATCTCCTTTCTTGTAGTTTGAAGCCATTGCTCTGCATCCTAGTCTCCAGGGCAGCAGAAAACAAGCTTGCTCTCTCCTCCCTATGACTTCCTCTAACTTATTTACACAGGGTGAGGCAGCATAACTTCCTTTTTTCAAAACTTAATAAAAAACCCATTGTATGAATCAGAATTTTTTTAATATAATGTAGTTTTGTTTTACGTAGTTTTGAAGATCAAATTAGGTAGGTGACGTCCCCCATTCTCCATACACTGAGTAAACCCATTTCTGGCGTTTGTTATGACTTTTGCCAGCATAGAAGGCATTATGTTGGCAATTTCTTCCTGGATGTTGGTCTTCAAATCTTGTAGGATCCTTGGACGGTTCACATAAACACGGGATTTCAAAAGGCCCCATGGAGAGCGGACCGGCCACTCCAAATCCGCTCGAAAAGTAGGCCTCAACGGCAAAAGCATGCCCCTCACTCTTCCAATGCATGATGGCAACTGAACTGTGTCAGGACAAAACGTTATACTCCCACCTCTCAAACGAAACCACTAGCACTCCGCTATGTCTTCAACCGACTGAATGGCGCGCATTTTAAAAAAGGAAGTTATGCTGCCTCACCCTGTACATGGTCCTCATCATGTCTCCTCTCAGCCTTCTCTTCTTCAGGCTAAACATGCCCAACTCTTTAAGCCTCTCTGCTCTTGTTTTTCTTATGCTTTTAGTCTCCATGACTATGGGTGCATCTACACTGTGGAGTTAATGCAGTTTAACAGCCCTATGCAATCACTGGAGTTGTATTTTTAAATTTTATTTATTTATTTCCCACATTTATACCCTGCCCTTCTCACCCCTAAGGGGATTCAGAGTGGCCTTACAACAGGCAACGATTTGATGCCAACACATATCAATCCAAAAATAAACAAATACAATTAAAATCCAAACAACTAAAAAAGATCAGTTATTAAAACAACAGTTAAAATAATGCAAAGTCTAATCATAGTCCCAGGCCTATCCATTTGTCAATCACATTAATTCATTATCATTATTGCACGTCTACAATGACTGCCAAATGCTTGGTCCCACAGCCACGTCTTAAGCTTTTTCCTGAAGGTCAGGAGAGAGGGGGCTAATCTGATTTCCTTGGGGAGGGAGTTCTATTTGGTCCTGTCTCGCCCCACCAGTTGCGCCTGCGATGGGGGTGGAATCGAGAGCAAGGCCTCACCCGATGATTTCTGGAAATCCTGGAATCCCTTCCGGGGTTGGGAAAGTTCTTTGATAGGAATCTTATCTTGATCTTAACTTCTGAAGCAGATCATAGAGGGAGATACGTTCAGACAAGTAAGCTGGGCCAGAACCGTTGAAAAAGCCTTTACCCTTCTCTGCCAAAGAGTGCTGGTGTTTCACTAAACTACAAATACCAGGATTGCATAGCATTGAGCCATGACAGTTACAATTGTGTCAAACAGCATTAATTTTACAGCACAGCTGAACCCCATGATGCTCAGATCATATAGTAGTGTTAGTATATGCTTCTCAGTCTTCCAAGCAGTGACACATTTCAAGGATCAGTGAGAGATAGTCCATGAAAGTTCATGATAGGTAGCATTAGTTCATATCAAACTCCATAATTTGCCCCCCCCCCAAATCTGCCCTCAACTTAGACATGAGGTCAACTTATACATAGAAATAAAGTAGTTGTGATGTATTCAGGTACACTTTGTAATCGCCACATAGAATTGTGTGTCTGCTTGATGGTTCTGAGACTCCAGACAGCTTTTTGCTGTAAATACATGTTTGTGATCGCCCAGTCTTGTCTGACTGAAGCTCACTGAAGCATTTTAGGGATAACATCAATACTATAATAAACATATCAGCCTTTAAGGTGTTGCAGGACTGTTTTCGTTGCAACAGTCAAATATGATTTCCTCTTTGGAAATTACCTAAAATACATGACACACAAAGGAATAAGGAAATATGATAAGGTGGAAGACTGCATACTGAAGCATGTTGAGTTTCTTGTTATGACCAGATGGAACAACATAAATTCAGAAAGTTTAATGGAATGGTCTTTCAATCTGAAAGCAGAAACTAGGCATAACCCTGACTGCCTTGAGTCTTTCTCTTCTCTAGCTTGATGGAATGATCAGTGCACTTTCTTAATCAGTAATTTAACAACAAAGTCTTTAGCCATAACATTTTATAGCTGTGCAGGGAAATTCTATTATATTTACTCTGAAATCCCAGTGTGTTCAGTAGTGCAAAAGGTAAGTATATATGGCAGGAATGAGAATTTTAAAATCCTACAAATGATGTTGAACTTTAGCTCCCAACATAGTTGCCTATGCTAGATAATGCTTTGGGACTAAGATTTGGAGAGCATGGTGAAACATACACTGTGTGCAGCTTATAAAAGTGTATTTGGGTGGGAATTGAGAAGTATCAAACCATTTTTATGGTTATGAATTAATATATATTGACTCTTCTCTTCTGAGAATGAATAAGAAGAATTCACTCAAGTGAAAAGCATGTTTTTTTTTGCACATGAGAGAACTACAATCTTCCAGGAGCAGTATGATCTCCACTCTACACTGTTGTTGTTTATTTGTTCAGTCGCTTCCAACTCTTCGTGACCTCATGGACCAGCCCACGCCAGAACTTCCTGTCTACGCTCAACTCTACGCTAGCAATAGTAAAACAGCATAATGTTCTATTTCAGCAGATGACGTTGAGGCCTTATTAGTAGACAAGTAAACAGTTTTGTGTGTTTCTCTTCTACTCTCAGATTTTATGTTGACCACTATGATTTTGAGACTGAGTGCTCCCCCCCCCCACAACTTTATGTTTTTTATTAAAATAGTCATATCCTGTCCTTTAACACAGGATTTCAGCATACATAAAGATAAAGCAATAAATAATAACTGTTATAGATTAAAAAAAATATATGGCAATTTAGCGATTTAAGATTTGTTAGTTTTTTTTTTTGTTCCTTTACGTTGTGTTAAAATTGCTTACACCAAGAGTCAATACTCATTACACTACCAAGGGCTCCATTCCTTGTATTAAAAGTATTTTGGGACCGGGGGGGGGGGGGGGGGGCTCACTAGGTATTGAGTGGGTTCCATATCCCATTAGTTCAATTTCAGTCTCTTTCATGGGCACAGTTTGAATAATTCACATTCTGTCTTTTTCAAATGTCTACATGAGGTGCTTGTACCACACTAGAGTCTTTACCACTCTTTAAGGCTGATAGATTTATGGCTTCAAAGGCTCTTCATGCTCTGCTTTTGAAAGTGCTGTCTGTGTCACATGAAGTCCAACTGATAACAATTTTACAACAAGGGGAAAACACTGGAGTGGTTATTTAAGAGTACAGGAGGAAACGTGTATTTAAAAGAACATTTGCCCCAATCATGCCTTGTAGTCAGAATCTGAAAAGATGGCATTGAGATTAAAGCCCTGTAAAATGCTATTTTAACAGTGTTTGTTTGGCAGTGATTTGTATGAAAATTATTGAGCTTAATATTCTGGTCTATCAGTATGAAGACCTGGTTAATGATAAATCTCAAAATAAACATGGATTGTGTGTCATAAAACTCCTTTGGACTCATACACCTTTAAAGTTAAAACTGGTACTGAGAGTTTAAATATATTGTCAACTGCCTATGGATCCTAATTTTCCAAAATTTGAGATTTCCATTAAGCATAATGTTCTAGACTGCTAACACATATGATTCCAACACTAGATCAAACATACAGTTTATGAATTAGATCTTTGTCTTTGTTCTATAATAAAAGGACATAATATTTATAAATAAAACTGTATTTCTTCAGTTGCAAGATACACCCTAATTTCAGTACCATCACCACTAATCAAAATTCATAAGATATACCTGCAATTCTAAGACACACCTGATTTTTAGAGATATTTATATAGAGAAAAAAGTACATCTTAGAATCTAAGAAATATAGTATATGTGTAACTGGTCTAAATCTTCAGGTATTATGGTACAAAAACATCAAATGCCAACTTTTTTTCATTCTAGAATATGGGATTATTTCTATGCACGTTTGACAATTATCCTAATTGCAGTCCCCCTTTAAAAAAAGTTTCCGTGTTTTGTTCAGCAACAGTAGAAGTATTCCTGTGGAAAACTTATTATCTGTGCAAAGATGGCAAATTTTGCATAGAAATTATTTTTGTATGTTTGATTTGGGAACATGTAGCTTTTTGCAAGGAGAACCATTTTTATATTCAAAGAAGCAGTGTTTTTTCATAAGCAATGAGAAAATTTGAGCATTCATAATCCTCGGTTTTTAAAATCATGAACCAGTTGCAAAACAGGAGGTGTTCAGCTGTTTCTATCATTCTTTAAAACAAAAATGTCCTAAAGTTAACAGGATTTTGTTGGTTCTTTCTTTTTAAGAAAAATATTTTCTACTGAACTACTAAAGAAAATTAAGTTGATGAAGTGGGTATATTATTAGTCATTACTTTCACACAAAAGCTGGCAGAAATAACATAGAAATGCTATGGATCAGTTCTTACATCACACACACAAAGTGTCAATGAACATTTTATTCAAAATAATATTTACATGTGGAACTTAGCAACAAGATCAGGTAAGCTTTGCACAGGAGGAAACGTTTTAGAGGCAACTTGAAAGCATCTGTCAAAATGCATCCAGTGATTATTTTTCTTTCACCAGCTTCCACTTTTCTTATAATTTCTTTATAACAGCTGTGGTCAGGCAGGCTGCATGTGCTCTGCCATTGTTTTGCTGTTTGTGTATACTCAGTAAGGAATTTTTACTATTCTCTGGGTGACAGCATAAGCAATGCACATGCCCTTGGGTTATTATTTCAAATCAGATTTTGATGGTGTGGGAGGAGGTTGCTCCTGGAATCCTTTCGCATTTTAGGTTTTGTTGTTGTTGTATTATTTACTACAAATATGCTACCACAACTGGACACTGAAAGTCAGTTTCCCCATTCCTTCTTCCAGTTCTGGTGCTACTAAATCACTCCTAAGTCAGTGGTTCCCAGCCTTTCTTCCTCCTGGTGTTTTGGACATCAACTTCCAAAGATTCCAGCCAGCTTACCAGCTGTTAGAAATTGAAGGAGCTGAAGTCCAAAACAGCTGGAGGACCAAAGGTTGGGAACCACTGACCTAGGTAAAGGATGAGGGGGTTAGAACACCGCTCTGGGAAACGGCAACCATTCATAAAATGGAAGGAAAAATCCCGCGAAACAGCGAACCGCGAAGTAACGAGGGAACACTCTACAAACTTTAAAAATGTAAGAAAGCAAGCACATTGATATTTGTCAACATGTCAACCAGGAGTTTTGTGGCACCTTAAAGGGTAATGAAATGTCTTGTGGAATACATTTCTGTGGCCTGGGAGCTAAATTAAAGGGACATTTGGCAGGTTTTATACTGAAACACCAGAAAGATAATTTTAGATCATTTGCTAAAAGTCAACTCAAGCAAATTAAGTAGCACCCCCTAATTGTTGGAGTTAATTAAATTCTTTAATACCCTAAAGTGTAATGGAGAAGCTGCAGTCCTTTGTTAACTCACCTGAATTTAAGCTCCTTTGAAATTGGTGGAACATTTGAGCAGACATGCATGCTCTTGTGGCATAAGCCTTTCCAGGCATCAGATATAGGATACATTATCCTCAAGTCCAGGGGTTCTCAAACTTTTTCAGCTGCAGAGACCTTTTTGAAGCAAAAGTTGCTTGTGGGGCCCCAAGAAATGTTTATATATTATATTATATTACATATAATGTATATATATCTGGCATGTGCAAACTTTTTGCTGCATTGTGTTTTAAAATTCAACAGACAGGCCAGGATGGTAATGTATGGATGAAGTTTGTGCGTGAACTCACTGAAAAAAGTGAACAAATTGCTATGCACACCGCACATATCTCATCTGTAGTGCAAAAAAGAGAGAGGGAGGGAGAAAAAAAGAACAATAAAATATTTAAAATGAAGAGTAATTTTAACTAACATAAACTTAATAATATTTCAGTGGAAGACCCTAGGGGCCTTCCAGTCCAACCCTCTTCTGCCATGCAGGAAAAGCACAATCAAAGCATCCCCTGAGCAGTGGGAGGGAAATAGGGTTTTGGAAGCAAAGAAGGTGGGGGTGGGGAGCTTTTGGCAGTGATGAAGGAGTGGAAAAAAGGCTGTTGGCAGAAAGGGATGGGAGAAAGGCTTTTGGCAATAAGGGGACTGAGAGAAAAGGGCTTTTGGTAGCAAAGGAGGGGGGAGGCTTTTGGTGGCAAGGGAGGGGAGAGGAGCAGGAAAGAAGAGGAAAAGATTGGGGAATGAGGAAAGCACGGAGCCTCTCAGTATGCTTCATGGAGCCCTAAGGGCTCTGCAGAGCACACCTTGAGAACCACTACTCTAGTCTAAACGCACACAGATTGTAGCTTAATGTGTCAAACAACTCATCTTTCAAGTTTGTTTGACAAATATTTCAGCTATGTATTTTGTAAATACGTAGTATTTATGAGTATGATAAATAAATCTTGTGAATGTAGATTCCTATTGGGTTGTTGTAAGTTTTTTGGGCCATATGGCTATGTTCTAGAAGTATTCTCTCCTGACGTTTCACCTGCATCTATGGCAGGCATCCTCAGAGGTTGTGAGGTCTGTTGGAAACTAGGAAAATGGGGTTTATATATCTGTGGAAAGTCCAAGGTGGGAGAAAGAACTGTGTGTTGGAGCTAGGTGTGAATGTTTCAATTGGCCACCTTGATTAGCATTTGATGTCCTGACGGTTTAGGATTTCTCCAGGCACTAACAAGACTGTCAGGAGAGAGAAAGCAAGGCAAGCAAACATAAATATGAGTTCGGATTCCCAGTGATTCTGTTACCTCCTTCTCTTAATATTAGAAAGCAGTTATGGGGGTAGAGAGCTGGCCTGAAGATTGATGGGATGCTCCTTAAGTATTCTAGTGTTTGGAGAACTAGTTTCACAACCATTTGTACCAAATGATAGATTCAAGTTATGAATATCTTTGTTTTACTTGCAGTATGAGAGTTCTATGAGATTGCACAGTGAGTTGTAGATAGGCAGCTGCTGCCCAATCCATTTGTACACAGATGGCAATTCTGTTTGATTCACTTTATTCAGAGCCAAATGAATATGTTTTGAATTATAGCTTTAAATTTCTCTTCGCTAGGTACTTGAGAAATCCAGATTTTTCAGAAGGGGACTTGCATTCTCATTGTTTCCTTACTTTGGCTATGAAACGTACTTATTGATATCTCAGTCTTCTGTGGTTCATGCTAAAACGCAAGGTAAGTAGTTACAAAAAGTTTGAAGACACCCAGTTTTTCTTCTCTATGTTGAAAAATCTGTTTACTAATATTTTTATTTATGTGTCTTCCAGTGATATAAGATATTGAAAAGAAAACAAATGGCTTCTTCAGAGAAGCTGGAATTTAGACATCACGTCTTATTACTCTTGCTATAAGTGTATCTTTCCCTTTTTTTTGTTTTCGGTCCCATGAGAGCCATCAAAACAATTTAAATCAAGGCATTTTGAATTGCAAGTCCATAGCTTTCACAGGTGGTTATGTTACTAAAGCAGACAGGAGTGGTGAGCAAAAACATATGGAGGTCCACAGTTGTCCAAGTGCCATTTAAAGGAAACCAGCACAAGTAACATTACTTTGTAAGATAATGCACATACTGTAATGTGCAAATTCAGCCAAACGGTCTGATATGTTTAGCCAAAATATCTCCATCACAATAGATTCATTGATACGTATTTACAGAACATCATTACAGGAATAACATAACATTTCACAAGCATTCATATTATTTCTTTGTCTTACTGTAATGTTTGTTCCAAATTTTTACAAACACAGTATAGTTTATTGTATTTAAAATCTGTCAAAATTCAACCCTACCTTTTTGCTTTCTTTATGTTCTTCATTGTTTCCTTTTGGTCTTCCATACAACCTTTGAATCAACTATTCTATCCTTATCAGATCCCCTGTCACCATGGTATCAGCAAGGAAGGATGAGTATACTAGTCCACTGATATAGCTTGCTGGCACTGGAAATTGATTTATGACCTTTCTCTAGCAAGATGATTGCTGAATGTTGCATCTCCCAATATCACTACATGTGAGATTGCAGTGCCATTCAGATCACCTAAGGACCCATTTACATTGACCATTTAATGCAGTTCAAAGCATCTTGAAACTGCAGCAGCCATGTAACAAACTCCCACCAAAGAAAGCCCATAATGTACATCAGTGTTTTGTGGTTTGCGTAATTGCCATCTGTGTAAGCACTTTCTTTAATACTGGTTTGAAGCTGCATTAAATGATCAATGTAGATGGTGTCTATGTGATCTGTGGAAGCTGGGGGGAAATAAGGCACTTTTGACTATCATGACATAATTTACAGGGGAACAAATCTGTATGTTACTTGTATTATAGTTATAATAATATGCTATAATGAGCATTATAAATATTCAGAAGCACTAGAGGAGGCAGGAGTGTGGATTTCCTGATATAAGATCTGCTCAGGGGGTGCTGTGGTTTCTAACTGTTTTTTTTACTGTTTTGTTGGTTTTTAACTGGATTTTCTATTACTGTTGTTTATGTTTAGTTCTATTTTAATGTTTGCATATTTGTATATTTTAAAATGTACACTAATGCTTTTATGTCAAGCTGCTTTAAGTCCCCTTTGGGGAGACAAAACAAGGAATAAATAAATATTATAATAATAAAAATAATAATATTGATGTTCAGCTCCCATAAGTTGTAAGTAACATAGCCAAATATAACAGAAATTAGTTCCAGTTGAGTAACATCTGGAAAACCACACTTTCCCCCATCCCCACTGGAGTAATTAAAACTTTAGCCTTTAGATGTTGTTTTTCAGAATGCTTGCACAGGCATAAATATTGTTAAGTTAATTTAAGTCACTAATTCAATATAGTTTGGTCATCCATTCTGAAAACATTCCCCAAAATGAACTGGAAATCCACATGGGATAAAGTGAAGGAAAAAAGTCTCATTCAGCTTGTTTGCTTTTAAACTTGAAACTGAAGTTTCAGGTTTAAAAGTAGCCACTAGAAGTTTTCTCAGCCATTGGGAATTGAGAGTTTGCTGTGAGGGCAAAGAGGCCATAAAAAGGGACACACCACAGAATGAATATGGTTTAATTCAAAGACGTAGTGATCCATGTTAGTCTGGATCACTACGCAAATTGATTTTACAATACCTTTGAGACTGAGCAAAAGAAGTTGATAACATAATTTTTTAAAGACCTTAGTCTTTATGCATTTAGGCAATCTTCCCCAAAGTGGTGTGTTACAGATATCCAATAGCTATGCTGACTGAGGATATTGGAAGTTGTAGTCCAAGATATCTGGAAGTTGCAATGTTGAATATAATAGATAGGCACATTTTACATATTCATATTTTATACAGGACAAGAAAGCTGATCATTATCATTTAGTAACTGGAAATAAAATTGTTAAAACTTTACAAAATGTTGTTTGGCAAATTGAGGAATAGTTTGTTATTGCCTCCATAATAGGAAGTATGCCCGTAGTTTTACCTTTTGCGTGAACAACTGGCATCCCATCTCCCTCTCTTACTGTTGTTAATTCAGAGTAGATTAAATATTGAATTCACAGTTGTTTGTGTTTCCTTCCATCTTAAGTTGATGAAATTCTAGATCAAGCAGACTATCTATATGGGAGTGGGGAAACCGAAAAACTTTTTCAGTTACTGGATCAACACAAAAACAGGTATGTTGCTTTAGCAGACTGACTTTGGACATTAACCATAGGTTCAGAAAGGAGCCTGCCTATTTATATTGGGAGCTTTGTTCGGTTCCTAATTCTTATTGGGAGTGTGATATTGGGCCATAAAATCAGTGCTACTTAGCATTTAAAAGCCCATGAAGGGAAAAACAAAGAAGAAAGACTAAACTTTAGTCTTTTCCCACTCACTCAGGAGATGGTTTCTTTTTTTATAAGAGCTAAAGTGAAGTGCCCCATTGATAAGCTGGGGGGAGAGGTTAATTGTGTAATTAGAGTAGTTATCACTAGCATAAGTATGCAGTTTTGTAGTTGTAGAAACTGTGTACTCCTCTGCCATTAGGTGTTCTTTCTCAGTTTTTCTAAATTCCTTATAGGGAGAAGTATAACACTTAGAGACACTTGGAAAAATATGTATGCTCAGGGTTTGCCTGCACCTTTGACTCTGCTAGTCTTAGGTTAGGGAATTCTGACACCTAGTGATTGAAGTTTGTGGAGATATATTTTGGATAAGTAAAATTATTTTTAAAAAAGAAAATAACATTAGGATGTAATCTGCAGGGTTCCATGGCATCTTTCATGTGCCACGTCTGGGAGAATAAAGAAATTACAGCAAAGGCATCATATTTTATTGTAATAGATGTAATAGTTACTAATAATTTGTGAATGAGGTAAACATGTTCATGATAAAGCAATGCTGACTCTTATTACCATATATACTCAAGTATAATATGATCCGAATATAATTTTACCACAAAAAAACCTGGGAAAACATATTAACTCGAGTATAAGCTGAGGGTGGGAAATGCAGCAGCTACTGGTAAATTTTAAAATAAAAATAGATACCTATTGAAGCATCAGTAGGTTAAATGTGTTTTATATATTTACATATAGAGATATAATGTTCGTTTGTAGGATTAACATAAGTCAAAAACCACTGGACGAATAGCCACCAAATTGGCCACAAGACACCTACTAACCCAAGGAGTGACCATCACTCAAAATAATTGATTTTATCATTTGGGAGTTGCTGGGATTTATAGTTAACCTACAATCAAAGAGCATTCTGAACTCTACCAACGATGGAATTGAACCACACTTGGTACACAGAATTCCCATGACCAACAGAAAACACTAGAAGGGTTTGGTGGGCATTGACCTTGAGTTTTGAAGTTGTAGTTCACTTACATCCAGAGAGCATTGTGGACTCAAACAATGAAGAATCTAGACCAAACTTGGCACAAATACTCTATATGCCCAAATATGAACACAGATGGAGTTTGGGGGAAATAGACCTTGACATTTGGGAGTTGTAGTTACTGGGATTTATAGTTCACCTACAATCAAAGAGCATTCTGAACCCCCACCAACGTTAGAATTGGATAAAACATCCCACACAGAACCCCCATGACCAACAGAAAATACTGTGTTTCCTGGTGGTCTTTGATGACCCTTCTGACACCCCCTTACGACCCCCCCCCCAAATCGGTCCTGACCCCCAGGTCAAAAAATGCTGCCTTAAGGCCACCCAGTCCAACTCCCTTCACCAGGGCAAGAAAACATAATCAAAGCCCTCCTGACAAAGAGCCATCCAGCCATAGATATAGATAGATATATGTGATTCATACACACACCAATATGTATATGACAGATAATAGTATCATCGATTTGAAAGGGACCCCTAAAGAAGGACAATTGTATATTGAATGTTCCAGAGTAGGCAAACTAGACAATCTCCACATCAACACTGACAAAGAAACAACAAGAAATACTGTTTACCCACAAACATAAAGAAATTACATATATTAGAAACCAACACTTTCTCGTTACTTTATTTTCCAGATCACCAGACTGGGCCACAGCAATGCATGGCTGGGGACGTCTAATTTAAGATAAGACTGTCCAACTCTGATTAAACCATTATTTTAACCTCCTTCAATGTAAATGTGCTTACGTATCCTTCCAATAATAGAGTAATAATAATAATAGAGTAACCTAATAATAACAGAGTAAAATAATAACTAATAATAATAAAAAGAGTAAAATAATAAATGGAATAATAACAATTAAATAAAATATTAAAGTAATAATAATAATAAATAGAATAAAAATTAATGTAATAATAGTAAAATAATGTAAATGTAATAATAATAGAGAAAATAATAAATGTAATAAAAAATAATAACAGAGTAAAATAATAAACAACTTTGACTTGAGTATATGCTGAAAGAGGCTTTTTCAGCCTAAAACGGGGGCTGAAAAGCTTGACTTATACTCGAGTATATACGGTAATCACTCCCATTATCATCAAGATGTCTACAAATGGACTCCTATATAAAATGCTCTAATATTTTTCCTGGTATTAAGATCAAGATGATTAGCCTGTAGCTTTCTGGATGTTCTTTCCCCCCCCCCCCCCAAAAAAAAAAGAGGGCAATGTTTGTTTATCTCTCACACTCTTGCTGCTAATGATATTTATACTTTGCTGTGGACTATGGACGATGACCTGGCTGTGATTAGCATATTCTGTTATGTTTGTTTATTACTAGTGAGAATGCACAAGTGCTATGGCGTCTGGCTCGAGCATTGCGTGACTTGGCTCAGCTTAGTCACACTCCCGAAGAAAAGAAGAAGCAGCTGACTTATGAAGCCCTTGAGTATGCAAAGAAGGCGCTTGAGAGAGACCCATCATGTTTTAGTGTGCACAAGGTGAACAATTCAATGGAAAATTTGACATTGCTGGTTTCCAGCATTAGAAGTCCCTTGTAGAAAGATGACTCCTATAGAAAGGAGTATTATCCCATAGCTTAATAAAATCTTTACCAGAAAGTGTACTGTTGTGGATGATTTTATGCTGTAATTGAAGAACTGTGTCTTTTAATTTTAAAATAAGTAGGAATTTTACATTTCTGGAGAATTATATAATGACTGCATATTTCTTGTGGCTAAGTATTGTTACAGCTGTTAATATTCTTAAATAAGCTATTCAACTCTCTTTTTTATTTAGTGGTATGCAATCTGCATCAGTGATGTAGGAGATTATGAAGGAATAAAGACAAAAATTGCCAATGCTTTTGTTATCAAGGAACATTTCCAGGTATTTAAAGGCGCAAAATACCCAACATTCACCCATTTATTTCACTCAGTATTTTGATATCTGTAGACATTCATTTATAGCACAAACCTCCAACTGTTTTGTGAAAGAACCTTTTCAGACCACAAGCTGAAATGCAGCACTTAAACCCTGCATGGAGATGAACTATTCTTAAACAGCTTGAACTATGCTTTCAATCTTCACTTACTGTCAGCATGTAAACTTGAATCCTTTGACTTCTCCTCCTGTATTCAAATGGCTGTTAAAACATGTCATTTCTTGTTTACTAATTGTTAAAATGACTTCTTTATTCACTATCTGCAGTACTAGGATGTTGGCATATATTCTAAACATTATCTTGTGTTACCTTTCTTTGTTTCCTTCACAACATTTTCTGTTTTTACATCATGATCTACTTTGCCTGGAATACCATATTAACCCTTCAAACTACATCTAGCCATTCTTCATTTCTTTACTGGATGCTATTTCCATTTCATATCAGCACAGATTTGTCATTCTGACTTTTCAAGTTAGTTGTAGCTGCATTACACTGCACACTAAATGTTCATTCACTAACTCTGTCTGTTCTTTCTGCTGTGGCACCACTTCTGGTGAGGATGACTGCCACCCAGAGGCAGCATTGGTGTTTTTACCTCTTTGTGGAATGGCCCTCAACTTATTCATAGACCCCAAACCTGCTCTCAACTTATATATGAGCATATACTGTAAACTCAACATTGCTGAGGGTGAAGGAAGAATTTACTGTAGCTGTGGGAGTCATGCAGCTCACTAAATCTTGCTAAACTTAATGAAAGGATAGACTTTTCAAACGTTATGTTTAATACATAACATGAAATGGCTTTGTGTGTAATGTAAATATAATGTTTTGGAGGCATGAGAGCATAGAATGATAGGGATTTATGTTGATTGGCTGAAAGTTTTAATGGGATTTGGAAAAGGCTACAGTGTAGGACAGTTGAAGAGCTAAAAATGTTAGAGAAATGTGAGTTAGCTAGAGTCTGTCAGGGTTTACATGTGTTAATTGTACGTTGTTTAATAACATTTGTACTGAACATGTGCACCTCTGAAAAAGCTACCATAGTGTTATTCATGTGGATGAGTTTGGGACACATTGTGTCTATGATAGCAATAATGGTTTAAGGGTGGTTGTGTCCAGTGGTGGGATTATATAAAGTGTTGCCCAGGAACCACAAGAGAATCTAGATGGGCTCTACGCTTGTTGCCAAAACACTGGGATGTGTGGAGGGCCATGCATTTGGTGACTGTGGTGGAACAATCAGACAACCCGCACATACTTAAAGTCCTAGTAGCCCTAGATATCAAAGTCAATAATTACAAGTGCGGAATTGCTGTCCCAACATCTAGAGGGCCACATGATTCCCATAATAAATTACAACTGGCAGGACATCTTTTCACTTTTTTTTTTCTTTTTCTTGGCAGAAAGCAATTGACCTGAATCCAAAGGATGCTACATCCCTTCATCTTATGGGAATTTGGTAAAATAGTTCTGCATACAAATCATACTAGTTCTACCAGTAGCTTAGTTTGCAAAAATACACAGTGGGTTAATTATTTGTGGCATTTCCTTGAGTCTACCCTTTTGTTAGTGGTCTGTGAGCAGCCTTAGAAAATGCATGCTCAATAAACATATGAATCAAATGTGTGTTATTTAGCTTAATATGAACAGTTTTCACTCACATTTTATGGGAGAGTCAGAAAGACTGGGCTATTGTTCACAGACTGAAACATTAGGTTTTAAGGTTAGTTTCTGGATGTTATCGGTTAGAAATTGAGGTATTAATTCATTGTCAGAGATACTGACAATCTAAAGTGCTTAATTTATTGAATTACTATTAGTTGATTCAGTGAGATCAAAGTGAGATCATTATAATCTGAATAGGAACTATTCTTAATCTCCCTAAGTGTCCTAATCATGTGATTATAGGGACTTTGAGAGATCCATTTAGATCTCCTGAAATATAGAAGCAAAATGTAAAAATATCATAACTTAATTGTGATTTTTTTTTGCATTTTCACAGGTGTTACACTTTTGCTGAAATGCCATGGTATCAGCGCAGAATAGCTGCTGTTTTATTTTCAACACCACCCAGCTCCACCTACGAAGAGGTATGAAGTCCCAATAGCTATATAAAGGTGTTATATATTGGAAGGGAAGGGTATGAATTATTTTTCACCTGGAAACTGTAAGATGGTAATACTGAAGAGTAGAACATACTGATCTTGATATTCCAGAAATAAATGTATGATTATGGAGGTATAGGTATCTTAAAACCTAAGGCTATAGTATTATAAAATGAAACACATTAACCACACAGAACTTGATATTTTGAAAAAGAAATATAGCAGTATTAGGACAATTAACTAAGTATCATATCAATAACATAACAGTCTAACACAGCATGCTTCTGGAGTTTGTATTTCATGAAGAAACCTGGTTATGTATGAATCTGCCTTGTATCTGCTAAAGATGGGGCTTTTCATAGTGTATGGAACTCTGCTGATTAATATTAAACAAGCTCCATTTCTGCTGAGTTTATTGCTCAGTCGGATATTTCTTTTCAGAAAAAACTTTCCATAATTTGTAACCCAGCCATAAGTTCCACTATGGCTTTTACCTTTCATGCACTAGGAGAAAAACTGTGTCACATATGTCATTTCCTGATCCCAGTGTGAATTATTGTGGGGCTTAACATGCATCTAGAGCCAGATGATACAGAGTGAAATAAATGTAGAATTAATATTAAATCAAAATTTAAAAATACTTCACTAATGACACTTAGTAAAAAGCGCCTTCCTAAGCAAAGTTTGCTTAAACATTTGTGTATGCTAGCAGAAAGACAGCAGCATGCATTTCAGAGTGTGGGAACATGCATGGAGAAAGCCCCCTCTCAAAACTCACACTAGATGTATCTAAGGAAGCAGTGAAACAAAAAAGAAGAGCCTGCCCTATAGATCTCAAGGCCCAAACTAACTCATCCTTCAATATAGTTTGTCCCCATTGTATTTTTCATTCTGTATGTTAATGTATACATTTGATCTCTAATGCTCACTGAGAAGGTTCCCCTGCATTGTGTGATGTAAATATATGATACAAAATAATAAACATTGAGGGGAAGACATAAAAGAATGATCACTGTTTGATGCCCAACCTGAATTAAGCACTATGTTATTAATTTCATTGTTAATGTTTTGCAGGCTTTACGTTACTTTCAAAAAGCCGAAGATGGTAAGTATTGTAGCATTGTAGTAACTGAGGCCCATTTCTGCATGGACAGTGAAAATTTAAAACCAGAGTATTAATATTATTTCAAATGCAAGTTCTGAGAGGTATGAATGGAGGGAATATTGGGATATTCCACCTATGTGGATTTTTCATTTTTCTGGAAGCAATGGTTAGATGGAAGTAAGCATCAGCTGTTCTCTCTAAGACATACTGTTTCCACAGTATGGGACCATGGCAAATTTCAAATAGAAAAGTTAGAATGGTTCTTTGCAGTCATTTTAAAATTACTTAAGTAGTTGTGTCGTATTTCACAGCAGTAAATATATAGACTTATTTCACTCTAATTGCCTGAGTCAATACAATAGCCTAGGCCTTCAACAAGCCTGCTACAAGGATCATAGCCACTGAAACTATTGAAAGCACTACACATTTGTGTACACAAATGTATTGGGTGAATCACACACATAGCAAAGGAACATACATTCCTCCTGGCAACACTTCTTTGTTCTCTTTGAGATCCTACTGTGGAAAATCCCTCTAACATGGGAGGGATCACAAGCAAAGCAGATAGATTTTAGTCATTTTATGGTTCTTCAAATGCAAAGAACATCTTAATCCTGTGAGTTGCATACTTAATATAAGTAATACAAGCTAAGAATGAAAATTCTGAGAAATGAGCTGTATTTCTTTGTTATGAAAGAAGAAACCAGTTGTTTCTAGAGTAAAGGATAAATGAAGGCATTTCATTTCCCAGTACAGTCCTGTAATCAAGGGTAACATGTTGGGTATATATACTGAAATCATAAAATGATATTTCTAAAACTGAGAATTTGTAAGGTTAAAACTACAGGCAGTCTCCGAGTTACAAAGATCCAACTTACAAACAACACATAGTTAAGAACAGGAGTGAGACAACAGGAAGTGAGAGAAATCTAGCTCTTGGAAGGAAAATTCACTACTGAAAGTGTTATCATGGGGAAACAGTGTTTCTACTGAAAGTTTAACCCCAATCCTTTTTTCCACAACAAGCCATATTTCTCTAAATCCAGTTATCACAGGGACAGAAAGTGAGGTGAAATCTTCTGAATTATAGCGAAAGAAACACCATAAGGATGTTAACCCTTCCTTATGCTATCCAAAGCTTATATTTATTTGGATGGAGTTACACTTAAAAATGCATCTGTTCTGACTTACATATAAATTCAATTTAAGAACAAACCCTACAGAACCTATCTTGTTTGTAACTCGGGGACTGCCAGTACTGTATGATGAAGTAAAACCTCTTTTGTGACTCATTTTCTACAGTTGAGCCGAATTTCTATAGTAAAAACTTGCTCTTTTTGGGAAAAACGTACATGAAATTAAACAACAAAAAGATGGCTCTTTTGTGGTTAACAAAGGCTAAAGAACGAGTATCACACACAGAGGAGGATAAGCAAGTGAGTAGTCTAATTGTTTGAATGATAGTGCAAATCCAACAGTCCATATATTTTCAAGCATTTTTGAAAAAGATGCTGGAACAAGATCTGATCCCCCTTTCCTCCATCTTAAAAGTGATATGAAGAATCTGATATGAAAATACGAAGAACCTGATCACTTTAGAATATGTTCTGATAAGTTTCCTGTACGTTACCATCGATGTTGTATTCCCTCTGAAGATTATTATGGTATTTTAGCAAGGTCAGGTGTGGGAAGCCAGGCCATAGAAGTTCTATAGTTGCAACATGAGGTGGTCAAAGGGGATTTATGGAAGCCGGTAGCCTCTGTAATGTAGAGGAAAAGGGCAAGCTTTGTTTCCTGGGGATCGCCAAAGGAAAATGGATTCTTTAAGATGTGAAAAGGGCATTGGCAAAGTTTTGACCTTTGTGATGAATTAGCCTCCCTAGGACAACCTCAAAAATTGGAGACATTTAGCAGAGATCTCAAATACAGTGTTCCCATGCTACTTCGTGGTTCGCTTTTAGCAGACCGTTTTGTTGGTTTTTGAAAATATTAATATAAAATATTTACGTTCAGTCGAGACCAGGGTGCAGAAGTGCAGCGGCCTGAGGCACAGTGGGGAAGGCCTGCCTCCCTGGCCTCCACAGACCCTGGAAGTGCAGCGGCCTGAGGTGCAGAGGGGAAGGCCTGCCTCCCTGGCTTACTGCTGTCTGCGTGGCTCCGGAGGCTCTGCAGGGGTCTGCGGAGGCCAGGGAGGCATGCAGGCAACCTTGGGATGGGCTGGGAGGTGGAGCGTGGGTAAGAAAATAATATATAAAAATGTATAAATATTAAAATTAATATGGCATCCTTCATGGATTTTCACTTATTGCGGGTGGTCCTGGAACGGAACCCCCGCAGTAAGTCAGGGAACTCTTTATGTTAAATTGGCTCAGAAAGGTCTTAGAGTAAAGATTATTTTCTGTGTATACAGATTTAAGGCTATATTAAAATCATGATCAGTTGTTTGTTTTAGTGCACATACAGTCTATGAATAACTTAATTGTATAAGGCAATTAGTAGTTTTGACTAAAACTGTGTGAACATGGAGCCAGCTAAAGCTTGTTATTAACCTTTCTGGTAGAAATCAACTTTAAAGACTCCTTGGAGTAAAAGTCATTGAAATTACTATTATTTATTATTATATTTATTTATATACCCTGCTTTATCTCTCTCGAAGGGGACTCAAAGCTAATTTCCTTCTTCCCCACTCTCCCCTTTCAGGCAAGGATAGGAAATTGAAGAGACTAAAAACTCACAAAGAACTGTAAATAAAGTTTACTTCTTGGTGCTCCTTTAACATGATAGTAGCTGGAGGTTTTCTTAAGCTTTTGTTCATAGCAAACCATGTGCACTTAGTAAATTTGTTCAGCTACACAAAGATTTGAACCCAGGTCCCATTTTACTTGTTCAATACACTATGCCACAGTGATTTCATTACTTTAAGGCAGGTCATTTTGAAGCTAGGAATAAAGGTTGGCAATAAGTACTTCACTTAGGTTCTTCTCTTCAATTTCAGGTACAAAAGGAAGCTTTGGAAATTCTCAATTCTATGTGACTACCATTCTCTGATCAGAGCAATAATGTTAACCTTTGACTTGGATGATCTGACTACAAGAAAAAGGCTGCATTTCTGATGGGCAGCATTGACATTCAGAGGGTTGGACGAGAGTACTGGAGAAATGCAGAGAAATCCTGATGCAGCATGCCTGCAGTAAACAATACAATGCTTGAATTGAGAAAGACTTTAGCTAATATTACAGTAGCCATGTCTACAACAGGCAGGCCTCCAGAAGTCCCTGCTGATCATATGTGAACAGCAAAACAGAAAGCAGGGGAGAACAAATAAGCCTGCCTTACCAGCTATCCCCAGCAATTAAAAAAAAATTCTAGATTCGGAAATGTCGCCACCAACATAGAAATCATGAAAAGTAGAAAATGTGATGAGTAATAATAATTCATTGCTGCTCTTTGGAATAATTTTTTCAGGGGTCTCCAGAAGGTCCAAAATATTACTTATGCAAGGTTTAACTGGTCTGGTTGTTTCGTTTTGCAAATGAAAAGTGTATGTGGTTAGGGAAGTCAAATTCTGTTCTTTGATGTCAGCACCTGTCCCTATTCCTTTTATGTGGTTTTTCACCTTTTATGTGGTACTATCTTTGTTGTTATTAAAGAAATAAGACCCACAAACATATCTACTTGGTCAACTGAGATATACCTGTAATTTGAATCCATTGGTTCATGTCCTTGTCTCTGGAGCAGCAGAAAATAGGTTTGCTTCATCTAATAATATTGAGCAGGGATTACTTTGTTATTTCCTGTTGTTTTTTAAAGGCATCTTCTAAGTTGAACTTGGTCAGATGCATCAACTTGGGGAAAATATATCACACTTTTTCCAGCTTTGCCACTTGAACTCTCAGCACACTCATTATTTCATGAAGCCCAAATCTTAAAACCCTCCAGAACACACATCATTCAGTCTCTGAATCAGATAGTTTAATCTGTAAAATAGTTTAATCTGCCCTCCCTACATTGGCTTCAGTATCTGAATTGTCTTGAGTAATCCAAATGCAAATCCAGTGCTTTCTGAGACGGGAACTGGGTGTGTCAGCCTTGCAGGAAAACCTTCTTTGAAACAGGCTCCTAAAGAGTTCAAGTGGTTAGATTTCCCTTACGCTTCTATCAATCACTTTCTGCACATGTATATTCAAGTTTATAAGACCTGATGACAACACTTTTATTTAGTCCAGTTGCAATAAATATTGCAATTGTCAAATTCATTAAATTACTGCTTGAAACGTTTTAGTAAGATCAGAGGAAGAGTGAGGTAAATGCTGACATCAGTATAGTATTGAAGAATCTTATAATGTTTTTAATTCTATTGAATAAATTGTATACGTTCTATTGGCATAAACTGAAATGAGAATAAACATCTCTAATAAGGTTTTGCAGTGGTATTTCTACTTGTTCCTCCAATCCTGCAACTTAGTGACAACTGGCCCGGTTGACCAGACACTGCTGGCTGCTATATAGTACTTGGTGAGAATTAAACACTGACTATAGAAGTGTTAGAAAGGACTACTGTGCTAGGCATCATTTAGGGCTGCACACTTCATGAGATAACTTCCCAATCCCCCTGTGGTGCCCAACAATGGAGCATTCTGCATAACAAAGTTCCTATTGATATCCTGTATCGATTTATATCCTCTTGCTGTAATGCAGTGGTTCTCAACCTGTTGGTCTTCAGATGTTTTGGCCTTCAACTCCCAGAAATCCTAACAGCTGGTAAACTGGCTGGGATTTCTGGGAGTTGTAGACCAAAACACTTGGGGACCCACAGGTTGAGAACACTGCTGTAATGCTCCCTCAGTCAATATGTTTTTTAACCTGCCATTTGATATGGCAATATCTGCATCTGCATGTAACTAGGATTTTTATGATAAATCAAACTAACCTGTAAATCTTCTCCCTCCCTATCTTTATTTTAACTCTCCTGGTCCCTTATTTCTATCTATCTTTGTCCCTTCCTGCTTTGTCTTATTCTTCTTACCGTCTTTTGATTCTGTGGTCCTTAACACTCCCTTCTTCAGAACATACTATGCTTTCCTTGGCTGATTCCTGTGGTTAACTGCTGTCAACTAAACCTTGTCTTATGGCATTCCAAGTCAATCATTCGTAGGACTTTCAGACTCAGAGCAGTGGTTTGCTTGCTTGAGTCTATCCATCTGCATTGTAATCTTCCTCTTTACTTACTGCCTTCTATCTTTCCGTGTTATTGTATGTCCCCCTTGAAATGCTGGGTGGCCACTATAGTCCATTCTTTTGTTTTCTCCTTTCCATATTTAAATTTGCTGCATAAAATTGCTGGAGAAGGGGTACCATATGTGCAAATTCACAGTGACCACAAGGGGAAAATGATTGGTTGGATGGGCAAGAACTTAAAAACTGCTGGAGAAGGGAAAAGCAAACAGCTCCAATGGATAAGGAATGTCGTCCTGCCTGGATGGGGTTTTGTGCTTGGGAGAACCCAACAGTTGTTGATTACTCCCCCAAGCCATTTTGAGTATGTGTGGCTCTCATACTATTCATGCCCATCCATTCATTGCTGGCTAGAGCAGATTGAGATTACAGCTTAACAATAGCTGTGAAAAGTCACAAATTCTCTTACTTACTGATGGAAATGTTATTTAGACCTCACTATGGAAAAAAATGTAAAGTACAGCTACCTGTGAACTAGGAAAGCCAGATTAGAGTGTAGTTATAATAATATGAGAAAAGTCAGTCTTCACCTTAAACATTCCCTATGCTAGAGAAAATACTCTGTAATAGCCTATGGAAAGCAGCAAGCCTTTCCTTTAAGGAAGAGGGGGGCAATCTGGGTTTCTCCAGATGTTGGACTGCAAATCCTAGCATTCCCACACCATTCGTTATCACAACTAGAGCTGATGTGAGTTGGGTCATGAGCTCCCAATACTTATTTTAAGGAAACAGAGGCTGTTGTTTTTTTGGAGGGTTTTTTTTTTTGTTCTGCCTCCACTGAATAAATTTAGGCAAAGATTGTTCCTTTTTTTCTTATGAAGGGGGAAAAATAAGTCAAATAATTAACAATACATTTTATGAGGTACTATCTAGTTTTTTATTGTTAATTACCAGTTCACAGGGTTTGCTGATGCCATGGCGGTCCTAGTTATTACGTAGTGCAAATCAATAAATTGCTTCTGTTCCCCTGAATTCCTTCATTTTTATTTAGTTTGAGCAAATATGTTTTCATTCTTTACAGAGGGTTTATTTTATATAAGCTAACATGAATAATTCAAGTAAAATTTCTAAACTTCGATTATTTTTCTGATACCTGTTATAAAAAAGTATTTTGAAGATGCCTTTGGGATGGCAGTCTAAAAGATTAAAACCATCTTGATGTGCATGTAAGGTAACAAGAGACTGGAGGCCTGTTAATCAATTCAGTGCTTTTATCAAAGCATTCACAAATTAATATCCATGAATAATAAAGTGTAACAATATGTAGAAAAATAAGATTCTGGCAGAATTTAACTGCTACATTGAGGAAATGAGAGTAAATATAGCAGTCATACTGCATTTACAGGGTTTTTTGCAGTTTGATATGTTACAGACAAGTTAATTCTAGGAAATCTGTTTCATGTGTGTACAAAACTGTATAAGTTAAATTTAATGGAATTTACAGTGAATGTTGAAAGCATGATACAAATGGTAATTTAAAATGTTACTCTAATAAGGAAGCACAGTTTGCTAGAAGTAGCATTTAATAATTCACATCAATGTTGTAGAATTCATTACATATTTGCAGTATAACAAGTGTCCATCCTTACTGCTAAAACAATTTAAATGTTATATATATTGTGCATAAGCCTTGGCCTGTATAAAAACAATTTAGAGATGCTTAATTTAAGATCATCTGATTTTTTTGTTTCCTGAACGTAAGGGCTGAGGATATGAATACTTACAGAAAATGAATTCAGTTGTGCAAAGCTTACATAACTTTCCATTTGGATTCTCTATATCCGTAACATAAAATTAGCAGAGTAATTCACACTGACTTTCATATCCTTCTAAATTTCAAATTACCTTATCCTATGAAACTGAAACATATCATCAATATCTTTTGAAAAGCCTGTTTGACAGCAAACAACATAAGAATCTTTTTTTATTATTTCCTTGAATATTATCTACTCTTCTCTTGGAAATAACCCAAGATAGTATGTAAACAATTTTCAATGCTGCTCAATGAGTTATAGTAAGTCTGTTCAGCTTCTACTGTAAGTCAGAACAGTGGCACCAATGTCTTCACATTAATCACATTCATTTAATTGTACATTACTTTTGTGCAAGTAATAGGTTTTACTCATGACCTGGGCTACATAGATGTAGCAAAGAGGTTATCAGCTATTACAATTGTTTAAAATTAAGCTGACAGAATATCACATTCTATCATCTCAAAAAGCCAGCAGCATTTGTCTACATAGTGAGGATGCAATTAGCCTAAGTCTTTAACACCTTTTATAACAGCCATGCGATAGAAATAACCTTGGAGATGTTTCATACATGAAAAGAATACAGAACAGTCTGCACATTTTCTGAACAAGGCTGAGAAAAAAACTCCTGATCCTTCTGGATGGCTGTGATTTTTTTGTAAGTTTAAAGCTCTATAAAACTAGAGCTTGGTTTTGTGTATTTCTATACACTTTTTAAAAAATAAAGTCTTTCTGCTTCAATTTTATTCTGGCCACTCTCCGAAGGGGAAATAAATAAAGTAGAGAAGTAAAATTGTTTTGCATATCTCTGTGGAAGAACAGAACCTTTTTTAAAGAGTTCCAAAAAAATATCACTGTACAGAAGAAACAGCTTATTTACAATTAACTGTGCAATTCAGTTGCTCCGGCTGGCTAAAAAACAAACTTTAATTTTACTCTTGTCCAAATCCTTCTGTTTCCTCAATTGCAAAAAGCAGCTTTTCTTTTAGCTGTTCATAGCTTTTATAAGGCGGTAAATCCAAACGATTAAAACTAGAGAGAAAGGAAAGAGAAATATACATCTTTCATTAGAACCACATAAATAAAACTGCAATCATTTTACTCATCAACAGGTAAACTGGATTCATAAATACTCATGTTAAGTTGAAAATATAGTCTACTATGCATTCAGTGAATTTTAATATCACAACCTAGAATGAGCCACGGAAGTATTTACCTTTCTGCCCTCTTTCTGTAGCAGGGAGTCTACTAGAGTCCCTATCTGTGACTTCTGGAATGGACTATCTGTATGGATCCAGCCCTTCTAGGGGTAAATTTCCTGACCATCTACTCCTTTGAAGAAATCAAATTTTATATCTAAGTCTGTATCAAATAACATTAAGAGGAGTTGCTACAGTCATCATTACCATTTAGTAAAGAACATATGTACAGATTCCTGAAGAATTGTCATTGTCAAAAGAAAGATGATTTGGGGTATTCATGACATGAAAAGAACATCAATTTTGGATATCTTTCTCTGATGCCATATCAGCATGATAAGCTGGATTTAATTTCACCCACTTAGAGCCACTGATTTGTGAGGAGGAAATAAAGAAATTTCAGTAAAAGTGGAATGTAGATGAGAACAAGGCGTAACTGTTCTCCAGACAGCTACTTCCCCATGTACTCATGTGCTTTTCTTTCCTAATAAATGAATGGCTGGTTTTAAAAGACAGAGGAAAATAACATATCAAATAATACAAAGCAACATGATTTACTTGTGCATGTTTGTTGGAATTAGATTTGATGGTGTTTTAGAGCAAACTTGGATTTTTTTTGCTTGAGTCTCACTAATATTATAACAATATACATATCCTGAGATAAACACAAAATGTACTGTTAACATTTACCATGTGTGACTTCTTGGTAGCCAGGTTTCCTTGCCAACTTTTTCAACGCAGAATTTCTGAGGACCATTGCTCCCTAAATAAAGATTCAAGGGCTTTTTGTTAATTGGGTTGCTTTTAATCACATTTTACTTCAGGAAAAGACAAAGTAGAAAATGTAAGACCAAAAACATTTTCAAAAAATAAATTCCATCAGCATCTTACCCATGAGTTCAGCAAATCCTCCCAGTGGTAGTCGGCAAGTCCCGGTGACAAACTGCATCAATCGCATACGGACTTCATTGTCAGCTTCTTTTATAAACTGAAAACAAATGGAGGGAGTGGGCGTTTTAGATCTTGCCTGTGTCCACCTCTAAGAAAAATTGATCTTATCAAAATTATAATTCAGGGACTTCTTTTAAAAAACTAACTTCCAGTTTTTGAACTTAGCATATATACACATTTACTGTTTTGGAGAAGCTATATTATGAGATGTAATTTCTTTAAAAAATCCAAATCCTCCACTGCTCCCTTCGAGTTGGAACATAATTCCTTTTTCTGGCAGCAATTACAGTGAAACAAGATATGCTCCCAGGCCATTACAGTTCAGGAGATGCCTATTTTTACAAGAGGAAGTGAAATGGAAGTCACTTACTGCTCATTTTATCTTCTGTGGTGGGGGTTAAATGTGAGGAAAAGCATTTAGGAGCATTTTGGTGCACTTGTTTTGTACCCTGAGGGTCTGTGGGCAATTTTATCCACTCTAATTAAAGGAAATATTGGTAAACTATACTGAGAATAATGTCTCCCAACTCTTTGAAGACACAGGGAAGTTCAGCAACATTTCCATTGTAGGTCTGCACAGGGTCCCTGACATTCCTTCCCGTCCATCTAAAATTAAAAAAAATCTCACAGCTGCAGGGCTCTTCAACAAATAAAAATATCTAACCTGCCAGAACCACATTATTTGTTTGCTGTTTCTTGTGTAATGACGATAAACAGTATTTCTTTGCCAGTCTGCCAAGTCAACTTCTTGCATGCCACAGAGCATAACCTAGATTTAAAAAGAAGAGATGTGGGGAAACGCAGCTTGGAATGCTATATGTCAGTTAAACCATTTTCAATGAATTGCTACAGACTACTTTCTTTAAGTTGAGTCTTATTGCTTATTTTCATCTTAACCAAACCTGGATAGAACTATTCCCTTGTATCATTCTCCTTGCAATATGTTGATGTCAACATTTTTTGCCCAAAAAAACAGATTCTCCTCAAAAGTCTCACCTCCAACTCCTTTTCATCAAAATATTGTAGCCACTGAAGGGGAACAACTTCATTAAATCCATCTAGGAAAGCTTTGGTTTGTTCTTGTACTCCTCGTGAAAACCGCCATTCTGCCATTAGGCTGAAAAAAGGCAAAAGGATTAGAGTGCTAAAAATGGAACCCTTTATTTTAAAACACAAAATGGACTTCTCCTCTTTTACAAACTGAGTTATATATTTTGTATATAATTTAGGATTTTTGTCTGGGTCTTTTGAATGTAGAATAATGGTATCTAGAAATAATGTAGCATATCTTCCTTATACACATACGTGATATTGCAATTACAATTTCGCTATGTGAGCTCTCCCCATGAAAATATTCTGTCATGCTATCTTAAAAGCAGACATATCCCTCAAAATTAAACTTCATTGCTTGTCTAATCCTATGAAAGATATTAGAGACTTTAAATTATACCTGTGTAGCATACAGGTATCATTTACTCATGCTTATAGTTCTCTAAGGAGCCCCCGGTGACGCAGTGGGTTAAATCACTGAGCTGCTAAACTTGTTGACCAAAAGGTCACAGGTTGGAATCGGGAGCAGCATAAGCTTCCGCTGTCAGCCCCAGCTTCTGCCAACCTAGCAGTTCAAAAACATGCAAATGTGAGTAGATCAATAGGAACTGCTCCGGTGGGAAGATAACGGTGCTCCATGCAGTCACGCTGGCCGCATGACCTTGGAGGTGTCTACGGACAATGCTGGCTCTTTGGCTTAGGAATGGAGATGAGCACCACAACCCAGAGTCAGACACGACTGGACTTAATGTCAGGGGAAAACCTTTACCTTTACCTATAGTTCTCTAAGCAAAAAGGTACAGTAGACTAATGCTGGCATAGTTTCCATTCTTCAATGTAAATGTCCAGGAAACTATTAAAGAGAATGGCTTATATAGGAGAGCTCCACTCATGCAATTCCTTCTTCCCACCTTTCATACTCTTCAATACAGTCCCACAACTGTAGTGACATTTCTTGAAGTGAATGGGGACTGCAAGGAAGAGACAGAAATTGGTATTCAAACTTATTATTTTTCAGTTCTTCATCAACATACCCAATGTACTCTTCTTTATTCTCTTCAGTTACAAGTAAGTTTGAGCCTCCTGACTTCAGCTCATGGGAGGTAACTTTCCCTAGTAGTTCCATGTCAACGCAGAAGTACATTTCTAAGTTGCACTCTTCAATATTGTTGTCCCTAGGAGGAAAAGTTAACAGAAGATCAGCTGGATGCAACTACTTCTCTATAAAATATAAAACAAAAGTCAATGTTTGAAAAAAAGTACAAACCTTATCCAAATTAGGGAATTATAAAATTCAGTATCAATAGATTCCAAATCCTTTATTGTGAGTTTCTTATTTAGCATACGCTTGTAGAATGGCAGGGAAAACCCAGTATCAATGAATTTGCCATGAAACAAAGCCTGCAGAGAATTTTTAAACATTAGTTTTGAATACAACAAAAACATACCCTTTTTCTAAAAATAATAGTTTCCAAGCAGGAAGCAACAGAAAACAGTAAGCCCCAAGAACATATATTGACACAAAATTAATAGGTAAAAATATATGCAAGCACACTTATATATGGGCCCAGCCTATTTCAGAACCTTTTAGAACCAAGAAATTAGTTTTGCAGGGCTCTGTCTGAACCTTTAGCATATACTGTGCACTCAAAGAGATCAGTTCCTGCTATTCCTACTTGGATTGCAATGCTTTACATTCAGTAACTTATATGAGACAGATCTACGCAGTATGGCAGAAAAATGAATTCACTATTCAAAACCCACTTAAAATGAAACAACCTTTTTCAGATAATAAAGCTTCTCCATCTTTGTGGCCCAGTGCATGCATGGCTGGCACACTATGTTAAAAAAACAAAATAAGACAGATACCTACTATTAGGACTACTTTGAGAGGGTACTACTTGCTCTAGTCAAAGTACCTACCATATTTTTAACATTAAGGAATGAGAAGGAGTGATAAGTGAGAAAGACTCTGCCCAGTAAGAGTGATAAAATCATTAATGAATTACATGGCTAATATTAAATAACCTGTAATTGAAAGAGAATTTATACTACACATCTTTTAAAAAACCTTAAGATATACAAAAGCTTATGCTACCAACTTCTGTCTCTCAGCCTCAAGGGTGGTATAAACTCCAAAGAGTAAAGAAAAATTCTTGGGAAGCTACTTAAGGGAGTACTAGGGAGCATACCCTGATTGATCTCAAATAAACATGGTATCCCTCTTACACTGAAAGAAACTAGGTTGCAAACAGAGAATAATTACATTACTGCAAATTCAACATCTGACCAGCAGAGGGGGCTCAGACCATCTCAAGCAGCTCCATTTAAGGATGCTAAAAACATCTATGCTATGTCAATGCATGTTATTATTAAAAAACAAAAAACAAGGTGGCTGATCTAAAAGTTTTGCACTTAAAGAATAGTTCACACACTTTCATAGTCCTTCCCACCTCCCATGATGAAATATCTCTAAGGATTTTTTTTAAATCTCTTGTAAAGCTTAACTTTAACTGTAGATGTAGTTGGAAAATGAACACTAAGCAATAATTGGGATTAGATTTGGGTTTGGCTTCCAGCAATATACACAGAGGAAGATCTCAAGACAAGTGGATTGAGGGCCTCTCAAACATAAGACTGCTATAAGTCAAACCATCTTGGTGGCAATAACAATGGATGAGCTAAGAAACTTTACAAGGTAAGTCTTAGTTATAAGACCCATTAGCTTCTCAAAAAATTTGTTCCTAGCAGAGGATGTGGGTTTTGCTTGCCAGAATCTGTTTGCTGATATGAATTAATACAATTTGATTCAGCATGTGATTATGGGGACTGTCATTATAAGTACTTACACTAACATTTACCATTACACCATGGCAAAAAACAAAGTAACCACATCATACTTGCTATTTTATTCTCACTTCACTACCCAGAACTTCATAATACTATAGTGCAATCCAAAACATAACTAATGAAGTAGCTAAGTCTCACTAAACTCAATAGGTTCTGGCCCAACCTATCTATCCGAACGTATCTCAGCCTATCAGCCCACCAGGACCCTTCTGGGGAGGCCCTGCTCTCTATCCCGCCTGCTTCACAGGTGCGGCTGGCGGGAACGAGAGACAGGGCCTTTTCTGTGGTGGCCCCTCGGCTTTGGAATGCCCTCCCCATAGAGGTGAGATCAGCCCCTTTGCTGATGGTATTTCGAAAAAGGTTGAAGACATGGATGTTTAAACAAGCATTCGATTAATCTGGTGCAACGAAACTGATGAACAAGGATTGGTTAATCACAGACGACGAAATTGGATTGCGACTACAATTAAGAGATGCATTGGATTATTATTGGTGGCCCAATAATATTGTGTATTGTGTATGTGTTTTTATGCTTTTTAATGGAATATTGCTGCTTGTCGTTGTGTTGTAAACCGCGTTGAGTCGCCGATTTAGGCTGAGAAACGGCGGTATATAAGCACAGTAATAAATAATAAATAAATAATAAATAGGCCTGAATAGGAATACTGTGTGCAACATTTTTAGAGAGGTTTGCCATTGCCTTCTTTCTGAAGCCGAAAGTGGGTGACTTGTCTAAGTTCATTCAGTAGTTTTCCATGTCTTAGTGGGATTTTGAATCTTAATGTCCCAGAGTCCTAGTCCAACACTCAGACTGCTTTACCATACTGGCTCTTTTGTGTAAATTGAGCCTTATGTAATTATTCATACTGTCAGAAACTTGTAAAGGAGACACCAAGACTATGATCAATTAAACTTCTCATCCACACTCTCCTGAGCATGCGTGAGCAGAACGAACTTCATGCTACAAAGGTTCACCTTCAGCATTTGGTGAACAATAAAAACAAGTAATAGAAATGCAGAGAAATGGAAATGAATGCAATCCCACCCTTCTCTTGTGATTTTAATTGGTTGAGAGATAAACACTTGAATAAGGCCTTTGGCTTTGGTGACGCAGCATGCTGAGCTGCTATTTTTTTAAAAAATCTAATCTCTCTCAATATAAATTTGCCAGACAATTATGATTTATGGCGCTCTGCCATAAAGGTCTTAATTTGAACTGCTTTTCATTTATATTGCAATGTATTTGAAATTTCATGAAACATTTATACTCTTCTACATCTGATATAAACATTTTTGTCAATCTAAATGATGGCAACCTGCAGTCAGAGCAAATTACATGGCTCTTTAATTGTCCAAAATTTGTATTTGAAAAGTCAATAAATTAGAATTCAACTTCTGTATGGTAAGCAAATGAAAGAATGTGAACCAATACCTTTTTAACATACTTGTTAAAATCTTTCTGAGGAATACCTAACTGAAACTCTAGTAAATGAAGTCCCTAAATGGAACTTATTTCCCTTTAAATAGCAAGCAATCCAGAAAGGGAAATAAACCATGAAGCATACAAATGTGTTGGTGAGGGGGAGAGGGAGAGAGAACTTACCATAGCAATAAACCGTCCAATGAAACAGAAATATGAGAGATGATCTGGATTTATTGTTGATGCTGGGTTTATCTGAAGGCAGTAGTTGCTCTTTCCAGCGTATTCAAACAGGCAGTACATAGGATTCAGCACTTCATGGGAAAGCAAGAAGAACCATTCTCTACGAATAATTATAGCAGACTTTTAAAAACTGAAGTTATTGTATTGTCGAAGGCTTTCATGGCTGGAATCAATAGGTTCTTGTGGGTTTTTTCAGGCTATAGGGCCATGTTCTAGAGGCATTTCTCCTGACGTCAGGAGAAATGCCTCTAAAACATGGCCCTATAGCCCGAAAAACCCCACAAGAACCTACTGAAGTTATTGTTTCCAAGTATGAATAAAACAGGGTGCAATACATAGCACCACATAACATTTCAGACTTAGACAACTGTATGTAAAGAACAGGAAGACTGCTTCAAATGCTTTTACTACAATTAGTTACCGAACTTAACAGACAAATTTATTTTAAACTGAACAGTGTATACACTAGGGATGTGTGAGCAATAAAAAAGACCATAATTGGGGAAACTTCAGAGGGTCCTTTCTCCCCAATTTTTAAAGCTATTGGGGATGAAACTTGCTACAATTGTAGAACACATGTACCCCTGTTAGCCCACCAAATTTCAGGACATTTCACTTATCCATGAATTCTTGGTGAATTTTCAAAGTTTTTATTAAAAATATTTTTCAACAATAAAGAAAACATGTTTCCACTTCTTGTTATTTACTGTTTAATTATTTGGACTTTACTTTGAACATAGTTCAAAGTAAAGAACTGATCGGTGCTTTCTGATGCAGATGCAGTCTGGGAAATGCAGGGCCTTTTGAATTCTCTGGCATAGGGCTCCTCCCTTCCCAAACTACATTTCCCAGAGATCTGTGCTGTTCCAAAAATGCACTGCTCCCTCTTTTGCCCACTGCCAATACTGAGACTGCATTAATTTCAATGACGAATGGCAAGGCACTAAGCAGCCCTTGGCTTTGCTTCCTTGCCTGGCATTAAATATGAAACTGACTTTGGGAGCCTTCTAAAATTTACAAAACAAAAAAGGATAGGGTACATTTCGATTATAGAGTATTTGGTGTGGCCCACAAAAACGCTTCAAATATGGCTTCCAACTTACAAAACTTCTAATTTTCTTACGATTTCAAAAACTTCCAAATTTTTTTGCACATGCCTAGTATACGCATTGCCCACCACTGGGTGACTGGCTGCAGCAAATGCTCTCTATAAATTGTGTACATTTCTTTCCTAGCCATGCTAATACATTTCTGCTACAGCACAAACAAGAACTGATGTATAAAAACTCTAATACAAAGAATCCTGAAGTCTGGCATTCCTGACATTGACCATGGAAAGGACAGCAACAACTACAGGACCTGAGTTCAACAGAAGTGTTTAATCTGACCCATTTTATCCCAAATAATTGTTTTGAATTGTGAAGCTGGAAATCTTCCCGCTGCTAGAGAGAAGGCAGGACTAAATTTAGAAGAAGCTTGTGAGTTCCTCTGCACTGTTTTATGATGGTGGTGGGATAAACTCAACTTGAATGTGGTTGCTGATATTGTTGCATTTTACATTTCAAACGTCCCCGTATTCCCCTGAAATGTTTTTACTGATACCGATTCTAAAATTTGGGGAAGCATATCCTGTATAAGGTTAATTAACAAGGTAGGTTTCCAGTTAGTATATAAATATGCATATTGAGCAACTGTTTTCAGCAAGAGTCTGAATTTTTTACCTGGCTAAGCCACCGTAATCCAATCCTTCCTCTCCTCTGAATATGACATACAACCTTCTCCTTAAATCATAGGGTTTTAAAGCCATAATCTATATAGAAAAAATAGAATACAAACAGAAAGTAACAGTGGGTAAAACAAGATAGAACAATGTTAAAATGTATTGTTAAACCCAATGTTGCTATATTTTTCTCTTTTAAAAATAGAACTATACCTAATTTTAACCACTGAAAATGTAATAGAGCTCAACAGAACAGGAAGAGACCACAAGGATCATCCAGTCCAACCCCCTGCCATAAAGGAAAATAGAATCCAAGCGCTCCCAACAGATGGCTATCCAGACTCTGTGTAAAAACACCCAGAGAAGGAGACTCCATCACTCTCAAAGGAAGCATATTCCACTGCTGAACAACTCTTACTACAGGATGTTTTTTCCTAATGTTTAGGTGGAATCTTTTTTACTTCAGTTTAATTCCATTGTTCCTATCTCCAGCACAGCAGAAAACAAGCTTGCCGCTCAATGCAGAATCCTTTCAAATATTTAAACATGGTCATTACATCCTCTCTCAGCCTTTTTTCCTCCAAGCTTAATCACATCCTAAACCTCTTCTCATACAGCTTGGCTTCCAGACTATGTAAGAAACCACATATGGTTTTGGTGGCTACTTGTAACCAGTGCAGATCAGCACTTTATATTCATGTAGTTATTCATAGGATGTAAAATGTTATCATACTAGCCACGTACTGCTAGCATTTAAGAAAAATGCACATGGTAGGCATGGTTTATATACTCGAGTATATACAACCCTGTTTAGTCCCCCGAAGTTGCTGTTGTTGTTAAAGCCATTAGGGACAGTTTATTGGGTCTCATACTCCACTTTTTGTATTTTTTCAACCTCAGCCCCCTCCCCCCTCTTTTTTACACGAGTATTTAAAAAAATCCATGGATAATAACACAGCCCAAACAAAAAAAAATTCTTGGTGTCTTCATTTTTAGGCCTGTTCCTGGGGTTATTTAGGGTGCTGATTCAAAAAAATTGCATTGGATAGTCCACATCAGCTCTAGATTAATAAATATGGTTTTCTGTGGGCGAGCAGATGGTGAATACTGGATGGCATATGTTATGTATCAAAAACTAGACCAGATGTGGTGTTTTCAATGCAATTTTTTGAATCAGCACCCCAAATAACCAAACCAAATCTAAAGTTGACTAAAAACTTTTTTTTAACCCTTTTGGTACTAATGTTGGAGAGTGGTCCCTGGTCAAGTGGTCCCTGGTCAAAAAAAGGTTGGGAACCACTGCTTTAGAGGAAACATCATTACCAAACCACTTGGGAAGGTAAGATTTCTTCCTTCTGTTTCACCAATGAACATTCAGATATTCTCGGAATACATGAATATACTCACTGATGAAAACCCAGAAAAAGACAATAAGGACCCTTTTTTGGGCAGGGGGTGATGAAAAAATGGGTTAGTACAAGATCTTTTGTACTGTACTGTAGTAACTGAAAATATGTTATGCTAGATTCATATTAAACTTTTCTTAAATCATATTACTTACTATGAACCTGCGAGCAGAATATCAGAAAGTAAAACTGAATTAAAAGGACTGCATAGTTGAAAAGCTTTTTAACAGTTTTAAATCATAGATAGATGACCAAATGAACTGAAACGTACTTGCTTATGCAATATTTTTCTTTAGACAGAATTGAAACTACATATTTTACCTGCTGGAAAGAATCTTCAAACAAAGTTTGTCTGGATACATTGATCTTCACGTGGCTAGGCAGAGCATTTGACTACAGACAGACAGCAGATAACAAAACAAATATGTAAAAACAATAGGTCAAGTTCAAGATAAAGTCTACAAAATGATTTGACCAGAATTATATAATACCTGACACAAATAACGGAAATGAGCTAATTTCCACCTAAAGCTGCGTTCGTAAGCAATCTGTGGACCTTTATTTCTGCAAAGAAATATATTGAAGTTTATTATTAAATAAAACAATTAACATTTCACTTTTCATCTTGAGAAACAGGGAGAACACTACTGCATCTCTGGCTCAGTTTAAAAATCTTGTCATCTAATACTTAAGAAGTCATAAGTTACCCCATAATCTGGAGCCTATGAAAGAGACTCAACAGATGCCTACCAGCTTCCAGTGGGACAGTGTAACTATTAATTGAACTATGTTAAAGACATTTAGTATACTATATAAATACAAAATTTAAAATATTAATTAAAATCCCACTTACACAGACGATTTACCGGTGCGAGGGTCATTGAAGGTAGTTGTTCGCGTATTATGGTCAACAAAATATCGCACACCTTCCCTGGTGTATCTGATTTCCCAGCCCTCAGGAAGGGGGTCTTCATTTTGCAAGCTGAAAAGTGAAATGCAATTTATCTTTTTAAAACACCAGTATATTTATATTTGGTTTAGTCTTGTTCAATGAATATGTAGATAAAACCCACCCTTGTGTCCGTGGATCTTCCCATTGTGTCGTCTTTGTGTTGTGATTTACAAAATACACTCTATCATTTGAATCTACTCTCCTTTCTGCAATAAAAATGAATAATGTAAAACAAAAGTTAATTGTCCATAGGTGTCTTTTTCACAGAGCTATGTTATATTTCTCACCCCAGCCTGGTGGTAAGGGACCAAGTGGATCATTTTCAGCGGTTAGCATTGAAGCCTAGAGAAGATAAAAATAATGGTTTGAAATTTGTGGCTGCAGGATATTTGTAAAGCCAAAGAAATGAAAAGAAATCCCTAGAAATGCTTCTATATCTAGTTAGGCCAAGATCCAAAAATAACATATAAAACGGCTCTGTTTTTAAGCAAAGCAGAACATCTGTGGGGCTGACTGGGGTAAATTGTAGGGGTGATACGAAAACATGATGTATATATTCAGTTATATCATATTTATTTACTGTATTGTTGTAAGTGTTTTACTTAACTTACTATATAGAGTGTAATCAAGTTTTATCAAGCCTTTTTATTTGGTTTGGTATTGTGATATGGCCTAAGGACTAATATATAAAATTTACTACTACTACTAGTAGTAGTTAGTTATTATTATATTTGGTGCATGCTATGCTGAAATGCTTCCTTATTATTCATTTGGTCACGGCAATTTTTGTTTATGATTATTTCCTTCTCCATTAATTATCCTGGCTGAACAGATGATGACTGATTGACAACACCAGTATCCCAGCAACCTGTTTTTACAGAGAAGACAGGCAGTTCAACAAGAAGCTTTCTACAGGAAAAGGGAGGCAGGAATCATACCAAATGAATCAGCCTCTCTCATGGCATTCCAAATAGGAATATTATTACTAGAACTACACATTTCCTCCCTAGATTATCAAAGTAGATTAAATAAATGTTGAGTTCCAAAATTCCCATCTGTAGAGTTTCTTTATACAATCAATTTTCCAGCTTTGAAGCCAAATTTAAATTATCAGAATTGCCCACAAGGCTGAACAATTTCTGCAGATGTTAGATTTTTAAGTTTATACTTTACTGTTCATTTCAATGCAAAGTTGACGCAACCCATAGATTTTCTGCTAAATAACAAACTATTCATTCTCTGAAATATTGGAAACAGATTTTAACAAGCTTTTGTTAAGTTTCAATTGTGAATTCAAACAAAATAGCATGAAAGAACACAACTTATGATTTTTGTGCTAGGTTCAAAATGTGGCTTCATGTCCTGGTTTATGGAGTTCTATTCTAAAATACAGTTTTGGGGCAGATTATGTGGAAGACATAAGTGACTATTCAACTCAGCTTTCAAAAGCCATTCTCCTCCCTCACTCTCCCTTTTCTCTCATTGCATGCCAGTGTCAGCAGAGATCCAGATTTGTATTTACTGAGAAATGCCTGCTTCTTTAAAACTACCCAGCTACTCTTTAGTGTTGTTTAAGATAATCTGAAATGGTTTATTTGTCCAAACACTGCAATCAGTTTATTTTAGATGAATAAAACATGTTTTGGGTTTGCACTGAGGTCAGTTATTATCAAACATATACTTGTATAATGAAGAGAAGAAAAAGAATTCACTCTGTAATGTGCTAATTTACCGAATAGAGGTATCGTTGGTTAAATTGTTGCATAGCTCCCTGCAACTGGTTTCGCTGAGATTGCCATTGTTCAAAGTTCCTGACTGATTCCATTGTTGGTCGTTGCCATGTTGTTGTTCGTGTATTATGGTCCACATAATAAACCCGTCCACGATCATCAACTCTCCTTTCCCACCTAGAAAACAAAGGTCAACATTGACAGCTATTTTCTTTCTTGCATTACTGCACAAATCATTTACTCTATGCAACTAGGCCATAACTGTTGGAAATGACAACCTTCATCAATCCTTCTCTAGCAATCAGTTTGTCTATGATCTTGTTGCTTACTGTTTCCAGTATGTATGTTCTGGTGTGCAGCTTCCTTTACTCTATGGTTTCTGAGAAGATATAAAAGGGGCAGCAGATCACATGCTCTCTATCTCTCTCTCCTTTTGACTATGTGACTTGTTGATAGCTGTTTTGTTACAAGAGAGATGCCCAGGCTGGCTGGTACAGGGAACCATCTCAAATATATTTGAAACTGGACTGATAGGTTTCTGTACCTGTGTATGCTGAACATATGAAAATTGTGAGTAAACCGAATTTGTTATTTCCATTAAAGTCTACTAAATTTTTGTCTCTTGAGTGCGATATTAAACAAGTTGTTTTGTGGAAAAGTGCCTTTTTGGGGGCAATAACCACTTTTGTCAGACTAAATCCCACAACAACCATTGGGAGTTATTTCTGAATAACTCATAGAACTGTCATGAAAGTTCATTTGTACTTCAATCATACAAATCTGAGTTTCTCCAATGTTTTGGGGAAAGAATATGTAATCATCTTCCTTTGAAGACTAATAAATGTAGTAGAATTAAAAAAAAAACCTTACCTTTACTTAATGGCAAATTTTGTTATGTAAACTGCTCAAGGTAGGGACTTTGTTCTCTCATATTTTGTATAACACACAATCCACAATAATGGCCACTAATTAAGCACACAATAATCTAGGTATTTTTCTAGATGAGCACTTTTATTTGGAGAGAACAAAGTGTAGCCCTAACCCTGAACTATCTCTTTCCTGAATTGCCTTTCTTAGAAAGGCAATCTGAATTGCCTTTCTTAGAAATCTTCAAAAATTGCAATTCATCTTTTTTTAAAAAAAAAACTTGCACTATTTTTTTTAAAAAAATGTTTCTTGAAACTAATAATGGACTTCTAGTTACTTCCTTTTTTGAAATATTTCATGGGTTCTCCGCAGGGTCTAAGATGAAAAAAATACTTTTTAGATTTATCAAACATGCCCACCACCCTACTAAAAAACTGGTTTTTATGTATTCACTCCTGTACTTAGGAGCAAGTGACTAGGAGTCAGTGAAAGCCAACCCCGCAAAGTAACTTTCAGTATGAGTTGTTCAGAACAATTCTAACATTTATTTAGTAAACAACAAACTGAATATAAACGGAATCTCCATTGGGGAGATAAAGCGGGGTATAAATATAATAATAATAATAATAATAATAATAATAATAATAATAATAATAATAATACCAAGATGATCACATTTTATAAAGACATACCATGAAATTTCAAAATTATTCTCCATATTCTGATTTCCTACTTATTTCTCATACCTACACTGATTTATGATACCTATAGACAGCTTTTATCGGAAATAGTATTATTTTATCTTCATCATGAAAATCAAGCATTTCCTTTGGTTTGGATCAAAAGATATTTTACATCTGTGAGAGGAAAGTTTCTTATTATCCTGTCAGCCACCCCAGTATTCTCCTCAATAACAAGTGACAAGAGAGCAGCAGAGAAAATTAGCAAGTTGTGCAGACCTCTGTCTGATATGAGGCATTTCCTTTTTCTATCAGAAGATCCCCTTCTACTAGTCAAAAAGAATTCTCTTTTCCATCAGACTGTACAAAAGTCAACAAAATGGAGAAGCGGAAAGACATCAGTCACCCACAACCTTAAAGGGGTGATAGATAATTCTAGGCTCCAACACTTTAAAATTAAAATTCACATGGTAACGCATTTTTAAATTTCTACCGCTTAAAATTATGTAAAATGTACAAAGAATGTTTTTAAACATACACTGTGTAAAGTATTCAATAATTTCTACAAACCTTAGAGCACTAAAAACATTTTTTTACCCATGCACAAAAGAAGATGCCTGCAATCAAGTGAATATAGAATTTATTACCCTGGTGGTAGAGGCTGGGGCCTTTCCCATGTTGTCGTTCTTGTATTGTGATCAACATAATAGGTTCTACCATGAGGATCCTTTCTCTGCTCCCATCTTAAAAAAATGGAGAGGAGACAACAAGACAACATTAACCAAAAACAGTTGTTACCTTTTGAAATATACAGATTACTAAACTTTAAGACGTGTTACTGTTTTATATGCCTCATAGCAGAACAAAACAAAACAAATTCTGCAAAGAGAATTTCTGTTAGTTCTGTTCTATAGGGTATTTTTCCATTCCAGAAGTTGTGAAACTGTACATGGATCTATGCAGTTTTAACTGTTAAGTAGAAACACTGATCCAACTAAACAATAAACAGAGGCCACAGGAAAAATATCTATCATTCAAGGCTACAGCTATCACTATTGTCTCCACAACGAAGACAATGTGCTAGCAATACTAGAATCTACACAGTTTGTCCATATTCCAATCATTCTGGGAGTCATAACAGGTAATTGTGGGCATCTGGGATACTGACAATATTCCGGTTCTCTCATAAAAAGCCTGCCATACTTCAGAAGCAGTGCTAAAAGTTCCAAACAGAATGCTATCCTTTTCAGATAAACACACACATTCAAAAAAACAGGCACTCACAATTACACACACATAATCCCAATGATCACCACACACAAAAAATATAGGGAAATTATCACAACTTAAAGAGAAAGAGAGTACACAAGTAAAACTCTTGTGCTACATTAAATCATACAAACCAAGGTAACACCTTCTTACCCCAAAGAGAAAATATACAAAACGCATATGGCTAGCAAGGTAGGTATGCATGGGCATTAACAGAGCGAACAGAAACCACATTCAAGCTCCCAGCTAAATACTGTTCAATGTAAGTTTCTCATATTCCTTGATGGTTAATATTTTTACATTGTTGATGATAACAAAACTCACATACCCTGGGGGCAAAGGCTCTATGCTGTTAGTACCAGGCTGTTGTTGCCTTACAGGTTCCCCAGACATACTTGAGGATTCTCTTGGTTTTGCTGCTTCTGTAGTTGCATTGTTTTGGGCACTAGAAGATGAAGAATCTGTAGGAGCAACAGTTTCAAGGCCAGGAGATACATTGGTGGGAGCTGTAGAAGTGCTGTTTTCAGAGTTACTAATAGTAGCTTCCGTTCCTAAAGGAGGTTCAATGTTAGCAGAAATAGTAGTACTACAGTCTACAGACATGGGTGCTTCTGTAGAATCCATAGGAGTTTCAGAGACTGAATTAGTATCAGCTTCCATCATAGATGAGTCACAATCAACTGTACAAGAGAAAAAATTGAAAAATTGAAAAAGAAATTAGATTAAATAAGTTTCTCTGATGTAAGATTAGTCAAAGAAAATAAAAGATTCTGTCTTGGGAAAAAATTTTCCAGATCAGTAACTGACCAAAGAGCAGGTAGCACAGTATGTTTCTAAGCCAACAAGCATCACAATTGAGTGATGTAAACAGTGGGATCCCCCAAGAAACTGTATTGGCATATAACATTATGCATGGTGATAACTTACGACCTCATCACATGAGGTACATTTTGGAGGCATGCACAATTGCGTCAATACTTTGGCAACAGAGCCGCCATCTCCCATTCCATCCCACAGCGTAGAGCAATTTCCAGCAGGGCTCCACTGCAAAAGTACTGAAGAACCACGCATGCTGCCATGACAGCAACATGGGAGACTTCCCGTGTTCTATTGGATGAACACGGGGAAGCTGGGTGAGCAATGCTTTCACCCACGGGATGGGGCGGTTCTCCATGCCCCCAACCAGTTCCACCAGATTTGTCACGATGAGTGGCATTTTCAGCAGTAAGTCTGATGAAGTTATAAGTGGATAAGGATAAGTTTTTATTCCTGCCTAGTTATACTAGAATTTGGAATCCTCCAAGAAAGATACATAGTAGATTCATGCAGGACATAGGTAAATTATTATATCATTCAGTAACAAAATATAGTGATGTCTACCAACCTTGAGGGATACAAAGGGGATTAGACAAATTAATGATGGATAGGTTTCTCAATGAGCACTAGTCATGATAGCTATACAGATGTTCTTGGGGCGGGGGGGTTGAAAACTTTTCCAAAAGGGATTGTGAATGTGCCACTTTCCTCTAGTGATAATGCCAAAGCACTTTCTTCCTAACTGAAAATAGAGTTAAACAACGACTGTGTTATAGCTAGCTTTCTGCACTCACCGCCACACCCATACCCCTATTATGATGAAAGCTTAGGTAAATATACTTGAAAGTACAGCGCACAGTTCTTTAAGAAGCCACTTGAATTTTACTTGTAGTTACAAGTTAGCCATTCCTGCAAATTTAAGTCAAAATTTAAAAAGCCTTAAAAAAACCCTAAACACTTCTTCAGTACAGATCTCTTGCATATTGAATATGCAAACAAATCTTGCATTATTATGTAAGAATGAGCACATAATAAAGATCAGGATCCAAAAAGATCACAAATCATTTGGACACAGATACATTTTTAATAGCCACTGGCTTTCCACTTCACCCCTGGAATCATAGAATCATAGAATCAAAGAGTTGGAAGAGACCTCATGGGCCATCCAGTCCAACCCCCTGCCAAGAAGCAGGAATATTGCATTCAAATCACCCCCGACAGATGGCCATCCAGCCTCTGTTTAAAAGCTTCCAAAGAAGGAGCCTCCACCACACTCCGGGGCAGAGAGTTCCATTGCTGAATGGCTCTCACAGTCAGGAAGTTCTTCCTCATGTTCAGATGGAATCTCCTTTCTTGTAGTTTGAAGCCATTGTTCCGCGTCCTAGTCTCCAGGGAAGCAGAAAACAAGCTTGCTTCCTCCTCCCTATGGCTTCCTTTCACATATTTATACATGGCTATCATATCTCCTCTCAGCCTTCTCTTCTTCAGGCTAAACATGCCCAGCTCCTTAAGCTGCTCCTTGTAGGGCTTGTTCTCCAGACCCTTGATCATTTTAGTCGCCCTCCTCTGGACACGTTCCAGTTTGTCAATATCTCTCTTGAATTGTGGTGCCCAGAATTGTACACAATATTCCAGGTGTGGTCCCTTCATGTTCTCTTCCCACAAAAATGTGTTGCAAAGTTTGGAAGACTTTTCAGATAGACATTTGATGTAGTAGAAGGAAAATCACACCAGCACTTGCCTATACAAGAGTTTTTGCTTGCCACAATATTCCACAGCTCTACCAATCTTATCAAACAAAGAAAGCCCTAAAATTCTTAAGTTTCTTATATTCCATTTTTTTCTTACCAATATTGCTGTCAGGCTCACTTGTTAGTGGTTTTGGTGATGGTGTATTTTTGGGTCTAATTGCAATATGAGAAGGAGATGGTGTATTATCTCCACTGCCTCCATTTACTGCATGTATAGGGAACGAGGTCTGTACTACGGAACTTGATGATGTTTGATTGTCTATTCTGCTGAGAAAACACACAAAACTTTTTGTAAGAACAGGCTTATTTAGATTTGATACACGTATTTTGGACTCTACATTGCAAGAAATAAGCCAATGCATGTGTAACCTAAATATTGTTCCCAGTTAACTCTAGTCTCTGCCCCACTCATCATTTTTACATATTCATTTTCATCAATGTAAAACCCTTTAAGGTATGAACTTTCATTTTTGTAATTTTTGTACACATTCCGTGAAGCAGAATGGAAGTGTGATATGCCAATCATTTCATTGAATTTATTATTAGCAAAGTGTCTCTGCTCATTTGTAGAATAAATTATTTCACATTTCTTCCTGAAATAACAGTTTTATCAGTTATTCACAAAACTCAGAAAACTACCATATATTATTCAAAATTTAAGTTTCCAAACAGGTGGGTGCAGAATGCCTTTGTCCACAGGTTGCTTCAATTTTCACAGCTAACACGATCTACCACTATTAAACCTGGGCCAGATTCTGCTGCTCTTAGCATTTTAAGCTATTACAAAAAGGTGGATAACTTATCTAGAGAACATTTTTCTTGTATTGGTATTAAGTGTTAACAAGGACAAACAACCCAAACTATGCCCATATAAACAATGGATACATTTGGAACTTATAGTCTGCATCTATCAGTCTAGAATTTTCCAAAAGAAACTGAAAGGCAACCTCAATATCCTGTAAATTAGGTAGATTTCTTATTACAGTTTAACATAGTAATATTTATGATGTTCGTCGGAAGAAATCTGACCTGGAAGTGGTTCTTGCAGATGTTTCTCTGTTTTCATGCAAAGCATCACCATTTTGCTGGACTTCTACTAAACAGTAAGAAAGAACATTAGATTTCTCCCCCTCTTAGAATGAGGGATAATAAAGATACTTTTATCTTCCAAATTTTAACTTACTGGTTACTAGTGAATTGTGGTTTGTAAGAGATTCTGGTTCAAGCACCAAACCATCAAGCACTACTATCAATTCTCCTGTTTGTACCAAGCCATTTTTATTTTCCAATGAGAGTTTCAGCTGTTCTTTGACTCCTTCTACTAAAGAGAAAATGTATTGTAAAGATCTAGTTGGTACAAAACAATCCTTTTGAGCATCTAATGAAGTCTACAGTCAGAAGACAGATCATAAACAAACAAAAAATCCTTACAATGAAAAATTGAAAAAGAACTAATTTTTAACCTTAAAAAAATCCAAGACAGGAAAAATGCAAAATAACAAGAAGGGAATCAAGAAAAAATAATCTTTTCATCCTGTTTACAGACATTCTGAACCCATCCATGGGCCATGAGGTGTCCATGGCGCTAAGGTTAAGAATCTCTGCTTTAGTGGTTTAGTCCAAATTATTCATGGCACACATTTCATAACTTATCAACACAAAAAGAGGACATTTATGATAAGCAAACTATCCTCACACGCACAAAACGACCTCTCAAGCCACATCCCAGATATTTCCCAAGCATTTTGGCATTCCTGGAGAGGCTTTTCGGATGGCTCAGGGAGATGTATAATGATGATCAAGGAAATTAAACTACACTTGGTGTAAAAAACAGACAGAAAAATGGAAATTCTGAGGTAGAGAACATATACAAAAGTGGTTCACAATTCAATCACTGGCATCTCTAGGTAGAGCTGGCAGGACATCCTGACTGAAAATTTGGAGAGGTACTGGTGGTGTTGAAAACATTGAACTAGATAGACTCAAACAATGTTGCTATGCTGCATTGTGGGAGCAGCCTTCTACTTACATAGAAGAAAAGCTATGAAATGTGTTTTCATCACACAAAAATAATCCAACAACACAATTTTATTAATTAGACTGTATACATTGAAAAAAAATCTTTATAAAATTAATAATCATTAGATTTGAAAAAGAAATGTGTTTTGTTAATTGTAACCTTTCTGTATTACCAACAAGTTTGCATTGTGATAATGTTTTAAGGTGGAAGATGTCCTCATTTTATGCAATACAGCAAACATTACAACTGAAACTTAAAGTCACAGTCACATACATAAATAAAAACAAATGCCTTCTTATAAAAAGAGCAACTAATAGTAACGAAACAAATTTGTAACTTACATCTTCTATTATGTATTTCCAAAGCTTGTCTAAGATCTACAGTGGCTTTTCCTAATAAAGCATCAGCTTTTAAAGTATGATGGCTCCAAACTCTAAATTCCAAAGTGGTCTGTGGAGTCACATTCCTGCAAACAAACATATTTAGGGTAGGGTATTTTTCATAATAGAGATATGTAGCACATTCTTCTCCATTAATTTGAGAATACTCAATATAAAGTATTGTTATCTGAACATCTTCATTTAATATGAAAGGAGTTAAGATCACAACCTACACTACATCCAACAGCCAACTTTTATTGTTTTTTGAAACCTCCTAATCCACTAATAAAACAAAGAAAGTGAAAGAACTCCTAAAATATGACAGATATACAGAATATGTGCATTGATGCTATTGTTACACAAAAGTTTCCAGAGTAATATTTTGATCTTGTATTAGGAAACCTTTTCATAATAATTGTGGTGGTTACTTTTTTATATAGATTTTATGACATCCTGTTTTATATATATATCATTCAAAACAATATATAAAATTATGAAGAGAAACCATAAATAAATTCAGAAAGAAAACAAGAATAAAAAGAGTTCAATCCACGACTGTGAGGGATATATTCTAAAGCAAGCCCACATGTGAGAAACCTGAAACCATGAATAATAGCACACTATAGAATTACACTGGAGAACCAAGAGAGGCCCTTAAACACTTCAGGTGTGGCGATATTTTTGGACCATGTCTAAGTAAAACTATGAATATCAAATCTATAGTTAAGGAAATAATACTGTACTTGTACTATTTGCAGTCTAATGATACAAGTACTACTGATCCAAATATGAAAGAACTATATGAGTGAAATTTTTAACTAGTAACAAAAAAGCTACTTAAAATATACTGTCTGATAAAATATATTGATAATAGGTTTATCCCTTTGAATACCTTGTACAAAAAATAACGATTTGGTGGTATGTACAAGTTGAGTATTTCTTATCCAGAATTCTGAAATCCCAAAATCTGCAAAATCAAACTTTTTGAGCTTCAACACAAGGAGTGTAGTATGTACTGCAGAGAGATGTGAGGCTGACTTCAGGGCTCCATCAGTTAAGGATTATGTGAAGGAGAGAGTAGCAGTGAAAGTAAATGGTAGAAGTAACAAGCTACACTGCTCTCTCCTACTCTCCCTCTCCACCTAGCCCAGACAGGATGAGCAAACACAGCTCTGGCAAGTGTCCTATCCAAGCAGTAGCTGCAACAATTATGCCTCTGGTCCCTGGGGGCAAAGTGAGTGTCTAGAAGCACCTATTTCCCACAAGCAGCCACTCATGACCACCAGTGTATCTGAGAAGAATGAGTGCATAGAAGTAGCTGTAGTTTCAGAAAGCACCACCAAGTCCCCAGTTTTCTCCTTTTCCTTGTCCATCAGCATAGTGCTCTGATTCTTCATCTACGATGGCAAGCAACCCTTCTTCCATTAGTACCAGGAGCCAGTGCCAAGGGCATGGGAGGTGAGTGCTGAAGGCTGCATTTTGCTCTGCACTGCCTGGCACTGCCCTCTGGCTAAGCAGTAGACACATACACCAGTGGAAAAATACATGGATTGGCTCAAGCAGCCCTACCAAGACAATAGAACTAGAGCTTGCAGCACAGGAACTTTCATGCCAAAAGTCTCGACAGGAAGATTCAGGTGCATTTTTCTCAGATCTACACTCAACCCCCTCCCCTCAGAAAAAAACCCTCCCACTTGGCAATCTCCTTCAATTTTCCCTCCAAAATGACAATTAAAAAAAATCTGGCCTCAAGCATTTCAGATAATGGATACTCAACATGTATTGCTTTATCATATGTACTTCTTTATCACTCCACTTTTATATTGATTATACATACTGGTATCTGTTTATTTAAACAGATAATGCTCCAGCGATGGACACAAGTTGTTGGAACTCCTCAATAAATTGGTTGATTATTGTTTGATATTATTTTGAGGGGGATTAAAGTACATAAAAATTCATATAATTCTGATTTTATATCCCTTTCCATCTGCATCCAAGCTATTGATTCTACAAGTTTGAAAACAGAATCAGAAATAATATTATGTAGTTAGCCATCTGAAATGTATCATAATAAATCTCTAGATTAGGCCCTGTTAAACCCCTTTCAGAATGTGTGTAATATTATCATTAAATGTCATATAGTTCAACAGGAGTTTTGATAACAAAACTCTAAAATATTTTGTTCTGTACACTGATAGTGGGATATACTGAAACAAAATAATATTTGTAGAATACAGCTTTTGAGTAAAGCAATCCTAATAAAAGATAGCTGGATTATGATTTTCTAGTCACCTATAGAACTTTTTCTCAAGCTGCCCTTGGATTGTGAAATGGCCCGCCGGAAGATATAAAACATAATTAAAGACCATTCTCTTCTAGCAAGCCTATCCAGATTATTTTAAATTATGATTTTTAAATTATGATTTTTAAATTATAACTTCCAAATTATATACTAATTTAAAAAGATGTGTAAGAAATAATAACAACAATATTAGTTGTTGTTATTATTGACATGAATGACATGAATAATATGACATGAATTATTTCTTACAGTAGTCTGAAACTTACTACTGTTTCAGGCTGCTGTAAGAAATAATTCATGTCATATTGTTTTACATAGCAAGTTTGAAGGATCTTTCCTTATAGAACTAATTTCATTACCACAAAGTAAAACTTGGATGAATATAATTGTATGCTTACTCAATTCTCTTACCATAGTATTATTTATGCAATCATTTCTCTCAAGAGTGAAAAAAATCAACATGAAATCAACATTTTATGTACAGCCCGCACCCCATGTTTGCCATATATCTAACATTTTAAATGAGGAAAAGAATACAGATTTTCTGTGTCTATGCCGTTGTGATGGAATGATGAACAGGAAATAAGAAACAAATCCCCAATTTGTTCCTGCTGAATAATGGGCTCTAGTGCAATAAATATAACCTCAATAAATATAACGAACAAGAAGTAAAACAGAGTCAGGAGGCAAATCTACTTACACAGTCAGTTGTTCATCCCATTTTGGATTTGAGGAACTGTTGGATTTAGATGTTTTCTTAATTTCACTATCTGCTACTACTTCTGTATAGATGGCAGTTCCACCAAACCAGTTCTTTTTTCTTTTCAGTTTGGCACTACAAACTAACAAAAACATTGCTTATAACTATGAGAAAAGTTTTCATAGTAGAAAATGACAATAATAAGTAACTAAACATTTGTTTTTAAGCACCTAAGAGCCAGTTACAGCATATTTACATGCAAACATAAAAAGGAAGTTGGAAGAGTACTATATTGTATTGTTTTAATTATTTTAACTGTTTAGAAGGAATTTATTAAAACCATGACTCAAAAGGCTACCTGAATTTAAGAGCTATTTTGCTTTTTTAAAAGCCAGCTACATTCTATTTGCTTAATGTATAACACTACCAATTGACATTATATTACATTAGCAAGGTGGTGAAAATATTTTATATAGTGTAACAAAAAGTGTAAATATTGCATAAATATTATTTCTCTCAATTTTATTTGTGTTATTCTCAAACAACCTATTATCAAGCAATTATATATATAATAATAACAATTCAAAAGACTAATTCTCTTACCTTTCTATTACTTGTTTCTATACAGGAAAGCATACATTGAAAAAGGATAAATCCAGCCATTTTATTAAACCTAGTTTACATGTCCTTCTTCAGAGGAATGCCCCCCACCCCAAAAGTTACACTCAATACAAAATTGTGAAAGCCACAAATGAAATATATACGTGTGTGTGTGTGTGTGTGTAGAGGTTTTATCAAAGGAGTGCTGACAGGCAAGCATATAGCCACTTTCATCCTTATATTTGTCAGTTCTTCCTCCCTCCCCATATATACTATACTATGCTATGTGTTTGCTTTTTAAAAAAACAGAAGGTTACAGATTCTTATCTTTCTAACATACAAGCATTTAGGCACATACCTACTAAGGCAGACTTAGCTCTTTTTGCCTTTTTGTTTTGCTTTTCACATATGTTCAGTAAAGGACTCTGGAGATTGCTGTGTTACCTTGCCTGTTGTAGGCAGGATACACAAAGTTACGCAGTGGTTCTCAACCTGGGATCCCCAGATGTTTTTGGCCTTCAGCTCCCAGAAATCTTAACAGCTGGTAAACTGGCTGGGACTTCTGGGAGTTGTAGGCCAAAAACATCTGGGGACCCCAGGTTGGGAACCACTGGGCCAGAGTAAAATCCCATTTTTTTCTCAGTGTTGGTTTTACTGTACTAGTGATTACGTAGCCTGACACTGAAAGTCTGTTTCTCCAACTCTCTTCACCATCCCTTCAATGTAAAAGCTACTTGCTTGAGTTAAACGGAGGAATGGCATATGAAGGCATTATTATTATTATTATTATTATTATTATTATTATTATATATATATATATATATATATTCCACCCTATCTCCCCTGGGGGACTCAGAGCGGATTCCAACAAATAAAAAGGCAAGTATTCAATGACTCAGTAAATACAAATACAAACATAAATACAAATACAAATATAAAAACCAAAGATAACCCCACATAAAGAGCAACTTAAGCATAACAATTATAATTTAAATTAAATGTTTGAAAACTATAACTAACATAGAAATTAAACATAAAACAACTGAATTAATATATTAAAACAACACGAAGGTTCACAAATGTGTGCATAGATTGTACGGCCAAAGTTGTTAAATGGGCTAATGTGATCTAACAAGGGATTAGGGGTTAACAGCTATAGAAATGAGCTTCCAGAGACTTTCTCCATGGAAGCATGCCTGCATCTGGATCTTTATGCTACAACGTTTTTAGGCTATAAATTTTCATAAGTAAGAGTTTGGGATATATAAAAGTCTTAAGGAAAATCCTCTGCCCCCATTTCCTGAAAAGTCAGACAAAGTGACAAGCCAAAAATAAATTTAAAATATTTGGTTTTAGAACATAAAACATTTAATAATTCTGAATTGCGATTGTCAGTTCCACTCCAGAACTAGGAAAATATAAAAATATTAAATGTACAAAATACGAAAGTTTAAAATGTTAGGAATGAGAAAAAATTCTAAACCATAAGCTACTTGACATAATTTTTAAATATAAAATATAAATATTTTATATTTCAATATAATCTTTCCTAAAACTTAAGATCAGCCATGAAAAGGAACCAAGAAAATAAATATGTGGGAATATAAGACATTTTCTAGATTCTTTAAATAAGTACTTAGGTGACATAAAATATTCATTTAAAGAAAGTGCAACAAACAACAGTAAACAATGAAGTTTGACTGTCTTCCATACCATAAAATGGAAATACTAGTGCTATTAACATAAAGCCTTGACCAAACTGTATTTATTCTAACATTTGCCCAAATAAATTCTAGGATCTTACATAAACTAGTCAAAAGTCATACAGAAAGATATAATTTAGTCTGTAAAATAGCAGCATTCAAATTTCATCAAAACATATAATGGCTGCAATCCATAATAATAACAATAATAACAACAACAACAACAACAACGATAGCAACAATACCAACTTCTACTACTAATACTACTTTATTCTTGTATCCTGCCACCATGTCCCCGAGGGGACTCAGGACGGCTTACACATGGCACAAAGTGCCTAAAAACAGAATATAAAATAAAAAATTAAAATACAATTAAATAAAACATATAAACATATAATCAACAACTAACACTCAATTCCAGAGAGGGGAAATTCCAGAGGGTGGGAGCAACCACCAAAATGTCTCTTTGTCATCTATCCACAAGCAAGTCTGTAACAGTGACAGAACTGATAGAAAATTTTAAAACTCTATGGCAGACATCTTCAGAGTTTGTGAGGTCTGTTGGAAACTATTATTTATTTATTTACGGCATTTATATGCCGCCCTTCTTACCCCAAAGGGGACTCAGAGCGGCTTACAAGTAAAAAGTAGATACCATATATTATATTTTTACCATAGCACAATATTAATACTACATATTACATTGTACTGTAACAATATACTGTAATATTATTAGTACTATTACATTTAATATAAAAGATATAATTATAATATCATATTAGTAGTAGTAGTATTATATTGTATTACATTATAATATTATCAATATTATATGTATATACAATATACCATATTATATTATATTATATATTATATTATATTATATTATATTATATTATATTATATTATATTATATTATATTATAAGCACAGTGCAGGAGACAAGTTGGAACTGCCTTCCTGGCCCCTCTCTTCACTCTGATCTCAGAGCAGCAGTTGGCGCTGGAGGGGGGGGATCCCAACTGATGACACTGGAGGCAAGATGGAACTGCCTTCATGTCCCCTCTCTAGACAAGTGTCTGCCAGCCATAGATGTGGGTAAAATATCAGGAGAGAATGCTTCTGGTACATGGCCATACATCCCGGAAAACTCACCCTTTCTTGCCTAGTTTCTAACAGACCTCACAACCTCTAATGATGCCTGCCATAGATGTGGGTGAAATGTCAGGAGAGAATGCTTCTGGAATATGGCCAAACACCCTGGAAAACTCACAGCATCCCAGTGATTCCAGCCATGAAAGCCTTTGACAACCCAAAAGTTAGAAACTTGACTAGAACAAGTACAGATCATCTACACCCAAAAACTACCTGGAGCACAAAAAAAAATCAGTCTAGTATTTTAGTTAGGAATCGCATATACCATGAAAAGCCCCATAATATATTAAACAGCTTCAAGCAGAACAGATGGCTTTTAAATACAAGATAATTACTATAATTACATAATCAGTATTGCTTTATGATTAAATCACCAAGAATGGAAGTGGATGAAAATGCTTGAATATTTGTGGAAATCCTCCTATTTACGAGCTAACATGTCTTGTTTATTATAATTGGGGAATGAACAGAAATCATTTTACTAAAGATTCAGGAGTATAGTACTGAATAGCAGCATTGTTCTCATGTGAAAATGTAATACAGATTATAAAGAAAAACAAAAGAAGTTCACAATGTGAGGGTTTTTATTTGTTTTTTTAAAATCACCAATTCTTCTATGGGCAATAGTTTTGAGTTATGTTTTCCTACAGATGTCAAGGTAGATAGTTTTGTGCAGTCCAAGGAACACATGCTCTCAAAGGAAGACTTCCAGGGTTGCATGAAAGTCAAACATATAGCCCATTCACACATGTCCATAGCTTATACTTGCCCAAACCCACACACTCCGAATCAATGTATAATTGTCAACCATTGCCTTTCAATGCATTCTCTTTTCCATCCTATCTTGTCACTATATCACCATAGAATACTGACTTCCCCAGCTTCATATGTCTCCACTTGTTTTTCCTGCCTCTCTCAACAGCTGCTCATGTATACATGGGAACCAAATAGAATGATACCATAGAGGCAGAAAAACAACTCATCAAAGGGAAAGAGGGATCAAGATTTAAGATGCTGATAAAACAAATGCAGAACCCTGCTCAGATTCTAAACTAATTTCTACAGTGTATGTGTGTACACATTGCAGGAATGTGTGTGAATGTGTGTGGAGAGAAGAATAGAACTCTTGTTTCAGCCCTACAAATCTGAACAGGATTTCCCTACTCTACAACATTTTGATGCAGGTTCCACTTTTCTATTATGGCTAGCACAGTGTATCCAAATCAAGGAAGAAAATTATTTACTGAAAAACATGCAGCAACATTACTGTTTAAGTTTACATGATTTTATACACACAACTCTTAAATAATTTAATAATATCAATGAGAAATTCAAAAAGAGCAATTTTCTGAGAATACAAATGTAACCGGCAACCAATCTAGGTTAGATATGTCCATAAACTGCATTCTTCCACAAGTTCCTTTTTTACTTATCATGAGAAAAAAAAATAGACTCAGAAATGCACTTTACTAGATATGAACTGTTCAAATTAATATACCCGAGTGAGAAGGAATATATTGCAATCCAGATAGACTAAAGGACTGATTTAGTATCATTCACCTTAGAGCAATTTTATCACACCACAGGTAAATAAAGGTTAGTGTTGATTTTATTTTCATTCATAAAAACAAGAAAAATGATTATGTGCATAATTGGACAGATTTTTACTTACTAGTTACTTGCATTTGTAATCTTCCATTATAGTTATTACTGCTTCCAGGCCGTGGAGAAGCTGTGGCCATGTCAAAGACTGCAACTTCAGCCTGTTTTTTAAAAATGAAAGATATGACTGCACAAACACATACCACTTGTTTTAGTAAGAAGCATTCAATACTCTAATGCATATTATAAACCTTTTTTTTAAAAAAAAAGTCATATAGCAGTTTTACCATTTTTTCAAAGCCAGCTTGCAAGCCTGTTCAAAACATACACAGACCAACTCAGCCCCATATTTGCTAATCCATCTAACTATACAGAATTCTATAATAGAAATCATATATGTATGTGGCTACATTTAGCAAAATATCAGCAGTGGATCTATACCCTCCTTTACTGAAAAACTGGCCAATTTCGAAGGATTTCCTCCTCCATTTCCCTATAACCATATTCTTGATTCCTAATTTCTCTATGCCATTTTATTTGCAATCTTTATTACCCAAATATACCTGAGTGTTCATAAGCCAGATAAATGTTGGTGACCCATTTAAAAAGCATTAAGAAGAAATTAGCAGTCTCTTTTTTCTTTCAAGAATAACAGACAAGAAATCTCTGGGATGTTCTGAACCTGACACCATCTTTCTGACATCTAGACTTTGGAGCATCAATTTTAAGTCCAACATAGGATTCTGCATCAATATGACAAGCACAACATCCTGGCTGATATGGAAAGTAGAGATTACCATGGGCAGAAAACCAACAAGCAGTGTGAAAACCACATTATCAAAATGGAAATGTAAGTATGACTGATCAGCCCTGAGAGCACACAGCACTAATCCTGGAAGATGTAACTCTGGGCAGATGTAACTACCACTGAAAAACTGCCTTCCAGGCAGGTAAGCAAAGATCAAAGGATGCCATTGGTTCAAAGGGTTTGCTAGAAAGTTGTGACAAGGTAATCTTTAAGTTCCATTGAGGCATTGGTCTACAAAATGGGGAATGAAGACTTTCGTAACCTTTGAGGAATTTTTTCACCATAGGGCTTTGAAATCATGAAGACTAGACTATAGTTTGGTAATTTACTGAAATAGTACATAATTAACAATTGATAGAAGACAGGGAACCATCTCTATCAGAAAAGGAGAGAAGGAATTCAAATAATGCTGAATTCATTCTTGAAGTCAAAGGTGAGGAACTTTTTACATTTGCATGCATAGGAGGGTTCAATGGAAAACCTATCTGCAGCTTCTATGAGTTGATAGGTGACATTAGGAAGAGAAACTATGAAGACACCTTTCATGCCTTTTTGAGTGTGTTCAAGTGCTTCACAAGATTGAAATCAATTGTGAGAAGTTATGGCCACTACACAAGCTTGATAGTTGTCTTCATACAGATAAAACGAAGGGGTGAACCATGGCTGTTATGGAACAATACACTTAGCTTTGTCCCTTAGAATCTTGGCTAGCACTCCAGGCTACTGTGTCAACCAGGCTACTGTGTGCAGCATCAGCCGAGGTCTGGAGGGTAGAGATCTGGAGGGTAGATTCCATCTCCATGACCAGGTGCCCCATCCCGCAGTCAACCACATTACAGTGTGTCCATTTGAGAGCAGGTGACCGGGACAGAAAGGGGATTCTGCTAGTGTATCGACCACCCCACTGCACTAGTCTCCCTGCCTGAGATAGTCAGGGTGATCTCGGGACTGGCACTGGAGTCCCAATGGCTCAAAGTCCTGGGGGGCTTCAATGTCCATGTGGAGGGCTGTCTGGAGCTGCTCAGGACTTCATGGCCACTATGGCAACCATGGGGCTGTCCCAACTAGTATCTGGCCCTACCCACAGAGCCAGGTACAGACTACCTTGGTTTACTGTCAGGGATGGGAGGTAGGTAGCAGTGTGGAGGAGCTGACGATTGCTCCGTTGCCATGGACTGACCATTACCTGATCAGGTTTAGGCTTACTGAGCCCCCCCCCCCCTTCAACCTCTGCAGGGGTGGAGGACCAATTAAAATGGTTCACCTCAGAAGGTTTATGGATCAGGATAGATTCCTGATAGCTCTTGAGGAACTTCCCACCACCTCGGTAAGTGACCCTGTAGATGCTGTGGTCACTCTCTGGAATAGGGAGATGACTAGGACAATAGACATGATTGCTCCAGACTGTGCCCTCCCGCATAGCAGAGCGAAATCGGCTCCTTGGTTCAAGCATGTGAAGAGAGAACTAGAATGTGTGGCGTTTAAGGTGCAATGAATCAGATCGAGCACAGCTGTGTGCCTATCTAAGGGCAAAAGCCGTGGCAACAGACACCGCAAAAAAAATCGCATTGAGGCCAATATTGCATCCACAAGGAACCATGCAGCAGAGGTGTTTCAGGGGGTCACAAGACAGAATCCCTGATCATTCGGCAGCTGTTCCAACCATGTTAATGACAGTGCTGCCTGTCTGGTTTTAATTTATTCATTTCAATTGGCACAGCCTGAGGATGTGGACCAGATTCTTGGAGAAGTGGAGGCATTCTGGATCCCTGCCCATCCTGGCTGGTAAACGAGGCCAGAGGGGGTTTGGCAGAGTGGGTGAAGGTGGTGGTTAATGCCTCCTTATGAAAAGGAAAGATTCCAGCGGGCCTAAAGGAGGCTGTCATAAAACAGCTGTTGAAAAAAGTATCATTGGAACCCAGTCAACTGAACAACTTTCAGCCAGTTTCCAATCTCCCCTTTTTGGGCAAAGTCTTGGAACATGTGATGGCCTCGCAACTCCACTTGTTCTTGGAGGAAACTGATTATCTAGAACCAGTGCAGTCTGGCTTTAGGCCAAGCCATGGAACTGAAACAGCCTTGGTCACCTTAGTGAACGATCTGCATAGGGAACTTGACAGAGGGAGTGTGTCCCTATTGGTTCTCCTGGACCTCTCAGCAGCCTTTGATACCGCAGACCACGATATTCTTCTGGGACATCTCACAGGAATAGAGTTTGGAGGTACTGTTTTACAATGGCTCTGGTCCTTCCTGGAGGGTCGTTCCCAGAAGGTGTTGTTGGGGACACCTGCTCAGCCCCACAGCCTTTGTCCTGCAGCATTGTGTCCCATGTTGTTTAACAACTACATGAAGCCACTGGAAATGATCACCCAGAGTTTTGGGGTTTGATACCATCTGTATGTAGATGACGTTCAACTCTATTACCCTTTCCACCTGCTGCTAAGGAGGCTGTTCAGGTCCTGAATCAGTGCTTGGCAGCTGTGACGGTCTGGATGAGGGCTAACAAGCTGAAGCTAAATCCAGACAAGACAGAGCTACTCCTGATCAGCAGCAAGGTCAAACAGGGAATAGGGTTTCAGCCTGTGCTGGACGGGGTTTCACTCCCCCTGAAGACACAGGTTAGCAGCTTGTGTCTGGACTCATCGCTAAGTCTGGAACCCCAGGTCTCGGCGGTGGCCGGGGGAGCTTTTGCGCAACCGATGAACAAGCTCTAGGAGAAATGTCTTACGAAGCTTGATATGAGAACCCTGGATTGCCATCTGGGTGGAGGATGGCAAGGACTTTTTGGGCTCTTTGGGCCAGTTGCAATAAGATTAAGACAACTGCTGAATTTGTGTGTACCTTTCTTCAATGTGTTTCAATTTGGCATCCTTCTCCATGTTAAAGAAGCCTTCTTTATCAAATGGCAAGTCCTATACTATTATCCTTACCTGATGTCACAATCCTGATAGGGAAAACCAAGCAAGCCTGCACGGACGCAATTATACCTGCTAGAGTTTATGCACTGCAACCTGCCACATGTTGAGCAGAGTTTATCTGTTGGACAGTGAGGGAATGAGAGTTGATCTGGAGAGCTCCAGCAAACCACTTGTTTGGGCAATTCCAAAAGTATTTGAGTTATCTGTTCCCAGAGGTGTTACTAGTATGCCCCAGTTTGAAAATTAGACTATAACTTTAGAGACCAGGATTCAAATCCTCACTTAGCCATAGAAACTCACTTGGCAAGTCAGACTCTCTCGGCCTTGGAAGGAGACAAAAGCAAACCCTCTCTGAACAAATATTGCCAAGAAAACCACTTGGGAAGTTTGCCTTAGGGTTGTCATAAATCAGAAAATTTTGGAATTCACACAAGAAGATATTTTGGAGAGAAGCATAATGTCTAGAACATTCCTCTAAAATAACTAGATATAAAAATTGAACATATTCAGATTCTTGTACTAGCAAGGAAACATTGACACAAAACCATTTGGACAAGATAAGAAGCTCTCATCACTTCATCCCAGCCTGCATAAATGACAGCTTATCTGTTAAAGATCAACCACTTCAAATATTTCCACTCAAACATACCTACAACTATAGTTTTAATTCTCTGACAAGAATTACCACCAAGAAATTTATCAGATATGAACAGATCTGTTTTTATTTTGCCCTTCCGATATATACCTGGTGTCGTCCCAAGCGTGCTGATTAGCCTGCTCTTCAGAATTGACCTTCTCCAGTTGCTTGGCCATATACTATAAAAAGACTATGCTAAATCTACACTAGATGGTCTATCCCAAATAAAAACACAGAAGATTTGTCTTGTTTCTACAGCTATATCCATCTGACCCTAAATACAATTTTAAAACAGATATATCATTAAGACTCCTTTGTTACTAAAATTATGCCGTGTGTAAAAATTATATCAAAGAACAGATAACTACATGAAGTACAAAGCACAGAAATAGAGGAAAATAGATATCAAAGTAATAATTTAAAGTGTTAACTAAAGTGTATGAACACCTTAGCAGCAGGTAAAGCACTCTTCAGCAGTGGACTTTAGTGAATCAAATGGTAAGAAAAAAAATGCATTCACACATATAAAAAGTGAAGAAGTTCATTTTGATTTTGGACTGTATATCACAACACTTCTAACTAGGCACATCAACATCAAAATCAGACCTCAGAACACACCAGGTACAAATACACTAATGCTACTAGGAACATACTCACTAGAAGTCAGAAATAACTGGTTCCAAGTAAACTTATTACCTGTGAAGTGTTAACTGTGACGGGGTCTAATAAGGGGATAATTATGTTATTCTCTAATGGTAATATAATAACTGGACATGTTGGCTTTTTAAGTTTAGCAAG